ATATCAAATTGTACTGTTATGTCAGAGGAGATAGATCATGACGGTGAAATCACGGCCACCAGTGTTTACAAACACATTTCGGACTCATGTTTTACAGTACGTTTACAATGATACTCTTCTTCATTGAAGGGACCATTGTGGACACGATGAACGATGCACACCAATACTTGCATAAGGCCCATGGGATGGTTTCGTTTTCGGATCAGAACATCAACATTAAATATACAAATTTGCAAAACAGGGGCCATACGTGGGAAAGTTGGAAAAGAAAACAAAGGAAGGCAGGGAAAGCGTTTGTCAGGGGACGACGGGCGAAAAAAGGAAAAAACGATAACACGTCACACTCGGACAATTTATACTAATGCACAAACTCAGCATTGCCCCTAAGTTGTTGTAATTGCAAATCCCACAACATACATGTAAACTCACCTGAAAACAAAATGACCATGACTGCAAAAAAACTCTTTTACCCCACTCTTCAATATTATCACGTGTAAAAATGCCACAAGAAGGAAACCATCCCCATCTCTTTCTCTTAAAAAGTTAAAAAAGTCACCTAATCCTGCTCGTCTCTTGCCTCCAAACAATACGCACCACAAAAAAATACAGGAAGATAGTAGCACCTTGTTGTATGTCTTGGAAATGTTCCCCCCAAACATTCAACGCAGGGTATAAAGCACCCCCCCCGCTACCCCCGGTGTAATGGAACCCACTCTCCCCTACAAGCAAAGTGAGTGTGTGTACATGTCGCAGGAGGAGTCGGAATCAAAAACTAAATTAAGGATGGCTGTCACAATCTGCAAGGTTCTTGCACACTGCCGTGTTCCTGTGTGCTGTTGGTGGGTGGACACTTGTAGAGGCAACATGCAGCAGTCAGAGAACACTCCAACCAATATTCACCTCTTCAAACTCCAATGCTATCCCCCCTCCTCTCCCCGGACTCTTCCCAGGGTGCCATCAGACTGTCCCAGAGAGAGATGCAGACTAGCTACCTCAATGCTCATGGACAGTCGATTCCAAATGTCGCTCAACGTCGCCGTGGACGACTACGCATCCTAGCAAGCCGAGCAAACGAGATTCTAGACAGCAACGAGTTTGTGAACTCATTTGACCAACTAATCAACGACAACTGTCTCAGTGACAGCCTCCAGCCAAAGAACACGTACTGGAAATACGTGTGCGACTACGACCTCGGTCGAATCCCGCAAATCTCCTGGTCGTCTGAGTGTCACACTGAGCAGAAACCCCTGTCGACAGCAGACCATCACCTGCGCCTGCCAGCGAGAACCAAGAGGGACCAGATGGAGACTAACACGTGCAGCGACGGAGTCCCTCGCAAGCTGGATTGCACCGGAGACATCTGCTCCGACTGGAGAACTCGTGCGAGGCCACCTACAGCATAGCTCAACAGTGGAAAGAGGTGAACGTCACAACAGTGTTTCTGGAGCTCGAGGGAAGCACGGAGCTCCTGGACAGGTGCAAGGTGACACCAATGGAGCTATACCAGAGCAACAGATGGAGGCTGAGAGCCCAGAAGGTGACCGTAGCCTGTACTTGCGAGGAGCAGCAGCACTGTGCAAGTATTTCCGGGTAACATAGAGGAGAGTAGAGGATAGTTTGGCCTTCCAAGATCATTCCATCAATCATATAAGATATAGTATATATGGTGTTTTCTGAGATATTGAGATATCTACTTCATCACAGTGTATTATTGTGATTATTCCCAAATGGGATATAATGGTGAATTAAGTATGTTAAATTTGCAAAAGTTATACGATAGTGTTTGCCTATGATTGCATCGTGAAGAGAATGGAAACAGTAACCAGTTTCCAAACCAAGATGGTAACATAAGCAGAGAATGAAGTGAGTAGAAAAGAGCTTACGCTTGAAGTGGTACTGAATGCTCACATTAGTTTCTGGACAGGTTTTCAGTACTGGCTTTATTATGGAACAAATATGAAGATACTGTTTGTGTAGGCAGTCATTGGTTGACGGACAAGCGTGCAGCTCAGAATTTCCCCAATGCATGATGCACAAGGCTACTGCTGGAGTGGGACATTGAGTTGAGCCAGCAACCATGCGAGTATATAGAGGGGGGGGGCAGAAAAACAGGCAAGGGAAAGTAAACAAACATGCTGGAAAAGGAGAGAGTAGTAAAGGGTTGCATCAGAGCAGAGGGGAAAGTGGCGCTGTAACGAGTGTCCCCTGGAGTAGGGACGCCGGCTAAAAAGGTGGGCTCAGTATTCCCTAATCCACTACAACCACTTCCATTCGTTGCACAAACGTAATCCCGGAAAACAAACAGACTTTCAGTAATTACTTCCTAAATATAACATAATACTACGGAACTTGCAATACCATATTAGCCGAGCGAGTACTACTAGTGTATATGACTATCTTAACACAAAGTGGTGTAACGTCATTATTTACTACGTACTCCGTCCAAACATGTCCAGCGATAAGATGACATCAGCCCCATCATTTTCACTATTACACCTGACACGACTTATTTCCAACTACTGTCGCTCGTCACGTTCGCAGACGACGTTTATTTTTTCTCCCAAAGTGCCTGGAGCATTGCACAAGACTCTTACCAAACATTGTCCGCTATAAAAGACTGGTCGGCGAGCTGTTTCCTCACACCAGCAACAGCTCAAGGTATTCTAACAATAAAGAGTAATCTGAAGAACACTGATTTCTTCGCCTTCACAAGCAACCTCGGAACATTCTACCTCAATCAGTCTATAGTCATGGAATTTGGAAAGGTGACTTACTTACATCTCAACTTGATCCAATTATTCTAGCCGCTCTTCAATGTTTTTCTTTGCTTTCTTTTTAAAAACTGTGAGTATATTGTCTTCTCTCCCACAGCAAATGAGTGTGCTAGTGAGGCTGGTGGTTGTGGTTGGTTGCCTCCATTCTCAGTTCTCCACGGCCAGATGTATCCCTGGAACAGAGTGCGACCAGGTCCTCCACAGAATCAACTACCTCCAACACCTCAACGTCTCAAACAGTCACGTCATCAACAACGTATCGCTTGATCTGAGGGAAGCCGACGGGAGCACCGACACTCTGGCCGAGTTTGACTCGGCACGGGTCTGCCCCTGGACTTACGAGGCTGATTACAACACCTCCCGCCTCCCGCAGACGCTGTACCGTGCCCGGTGCACTACCGAGACATGGTGCGATCACACCAACGGAGAGAGATACGAGTGCCTGCCGCTCACAGAGTACATCGTACCAGTGGCAATCAGCAGAGAGTGCGACATATTTGGCGAAACCGAGTGGACGCTGAGCTTCGAGAAAATATCCGTGGCCTGTTATCCTTCACGAGTGAGAACCGACACTGAAGAAATCTGCCGGCAGTTGGACTAACTGGGGGAAATGGGGGAAACGGCAGACCCACCACTTCACTATCTATGATCACCGGGCAGCTATTATATTATATTAAGAGTATGCATTACTATACAGGCAAAATCTCTTATATTACTCCAGCATCATTCTAATGTATCATTCATCTATGAGACTTGGTGTAAATCAAGTATAAATTATAAATTTCAAAAGTCGGAGAAGCTGCAAAGTATTGTCATGATAAAAATAGATTGCATATCTGGCCACGGGACTTATTCATAAAAATAGGGCATTTCCTGTCCCTTCCTCTGAAAAGGTTTTACGTCTTTTTGCTATATATAGCTTCAATCAGTGATGTAATCGCCATGATCACATGATTGCAACATCATGCGCGAAGCACGCTCAAAAGGTTAATTGTCAGTATTGCATTGACTTGCATCGCTCCTTGTGATTTCCCCACGTTCCACGTAATTGCAAACGACGTACTATAGCACCGCAATACAGCTGAAACTCTGAAAAGGGATGCTCCGAAGCATTCATCTAGTAGCTAGTACCTCTTGGACACTTTCGAGTTGAGCCTTATTCAGGAGATTCATAAGCATCGCAGACAGTTACATTGCTTCCACATAGCATACTATTAGCAACTATCTTCCGTTTTGTATATTATAACTGTACATAGTGGCAAGGCAGGTAGAGAGAAGAACAATGTGTTTAAGAGTGATTTATGCTGCACATATATACTGCACCTGTACAGTAAAAAGTTGTGAGTCGTGGATGAGGTGGAGATTCTGTGGAACGGTGAGGGAGACAGAGTCCTCTCCCTCCCGGGTACTGGGCCCAGAGCCAGACGCTCCTCCTCCGGCTGGGGCAGTGGAGGACTTCTCACTAGAGGACCCAGTCTATGTGTGAATGGAGCAATACCGTTTTGAGCTACACTGCACACTTTCAGTGAACCTTATAAATACATGGGATTTGCCCCTCCTATTTCTGACGCTATTCCACTTCCCTTGGATCAATTTCTAAATGGAGGCGATAGCACAGGTGGCCTTGTGTCTCTAGTCTTTGGTCGCCTTAGCACATTTTGTTTTCATTTCTAGCAATGGCCCTTTCCTCGATACTAGCATTGAAGCTAAGAGCCCGTATGTCCACAGGAATACAATAACGCCAGCCTATATAGTAGCTTTCTCTCTCTACCGGTGAGTATTACAGTAACATACTGGTGGTGGGGACTGGTGGTGTAGCTCAGCCAACCACTCAGAGGTTCTGATGATCAACTGTAGACAAAAGATGGTTATCATGAAGTAATTAACATGGAGAAATGAAAAGTGCTCATTAATGACAAAAAGACCTTTACAGAAGCATGCCATCCACAGATTTACATTTTGCCTTAAAGATTGTGGCGCTCTACCTCTTCTACACTCCACAGGGTCTTCTACGTATAGTAAGTATTAACAACAATACATTTCTCGTGGTGACTGTTGACCTGAAGGGAGAGTTTCCAGAACCGGTGTGTGAGGCTGGGCAGAAAGACCTCGGGAGACCAGGTCTTGTGAAGACAGTCCCACAGAACACGGAACACCTCCAGTTTGAACTGTGGAACACCGGACCGAGGTGGTGCCTTATCTGTATTGTATGGGGAGGGTTGGCAAGAGGGCAATACGTACATACATAGTCTATTTACTTAGAAATGGACAACTGAAGACAAGGTAAGTGCAAATTAAACTTATACACCCAGGACAACACTATGGAGTATGGAGAGAACCAACCCCATAACACTGCTCTCTAGGCAGAGTGCCTGTATATTATATATATATATTATATATATATATTATATAATTATAATTATATCTAGCCCCAACATTTGAGCTAGGTACCATGCCCATCCTATATAAAAGTACTACCGTACTTAGTGATAATAGATAGTGGTTTCAGCAGAATTGAATAGAGTTGCAAGTACATGTATGTACACCAAGTAGAGTTCAGACACAGGTGTCTAGGGAGCTAAATCATGTCCATACCTTGAGCTGGAGTCAGTGATAAAGAGTTTTCCATGACCCCTGCAATCTCCTGAAACCTAAATACAAGAATAAGACATTAGCACAAAAAAAAATTGCCATCACATGCAAGATCCTGGCACTTTGATTGCCACGTGTAAACGGAGAGAAAAATGTTGAAAAAGGACTACTACCAGACCATTTATTGCTCACCACATACATATAGGATTATATTATATATACATCGTAGGTCTCGCTAGTGTAAAACCTGATCTGGAAATAGACAGGCAAACTCCACTTGGCGAGGGGAGGATAGGTTGATGAAACTGGGTGGGCCTCAGTTCCTCACGCTGGCCTGATTCGGACAGAGAAGAGAGAGACTCAACAACACTCACAAACTCCATTGTGGCCGTGTAGTTCTGGTATAGAGAGGGACAGGAGACACACGAAACAGCAGTAAGCAATTGGCGTTTGGTTAGGTTTTATGACAACAAGTAGGAACGAGAAATATATTATGGATTAAGTAGAAGAACACAGACAAAACAAGCTATAGCTCTATGACCTCAAACGGTCTACTATGACACACACAGACACCTGAGCTATACACATACACACGTTAGCTCAACATGCACGCAGGCGAGCATAATCACAGTCGTATTAAGGGGGCCCACATATACATTACCTTGGAGAAGTTCGTCGGGATTGACGGGTGCAAAGATTGCAGGAATCTTCTGGTCCAGCATAGCCACCAGTTCAGGCCACACGGCGTTCACCAGGAAACTGAATCCGGGAACCCTCGGAGGCTGAGCCAAACCACCGGCCGCGGCGGGGGGCCGGGGGTGGGTGAGCTCTAATAGGAGTGAGCACTGCTTGGGGAAGAAGGCGAGTATTTGTGAGTAGATCCCAGGTAGTCCGGAGCTCGACACCAGAGCCTTGTAGTCACTCACTGCGAAGGATATACAAACTATATGAGTCTTTCGGGATTGCAGATAGCGTCTTGTGTGTATAGGTACTGAGACATTACACAGGTATATTCATGAGTCATACACACCCCGCTGATTATACCGCATAATGGGAAATTTGTCTCGCTGTCCCCACCAATGAAACATTCTGTAGAGAACTTACTGATGACTTTACTACGAAAGGTTCATAGTAGTGCATATACTGGACATCATACTGTATACGGGTACTATGTAGGGTATTATTAACTAATGTGATGAGCTCTAGTAAAGATACTTGAATTATGTGATAAGCTCAAGTATGGATTACGTGTATCCACTAATGTAATGAGCTCTACACCACTATGGACAGACCTTATCAAGGAAGGGGTGTGCCACAGCAGCCTGGAACATACTCTCTGCGTCCTCCTGCCGACTGATGGAGGCATAGGCCTGCAGACAGTGGCCAGCCTCTCTCGGCCTCGTCCGTCCAGAGCCTCCTGGAACAGTCGCTCCAGTCTGGACTGCAGGGCTGACGTGACTCCAGCTATACGCTGCCCAGAGAGAATGGAGAGAAAGAGAGATATGAGACAGGGTAGGAAAACATACTGCGAGTGGTTCCTTTTCTACACACAGTTTAACACAAAGAAAGATGCACGGGTGTAGGTGTACTACAAGTTGGTATCTCTCTGAATCTCTTTAACAAATTTCTGACGAGTGAGCTGGACCATTCACGAAAGTTTTTATGTGCATGTAAAACATCACATACGTAGGACGTATGTATATTATGCAGATGATTGGTGGTCAGACAAGATTACTAAACATACATTAATGATACTGTATGTACTACCTGTCACTACTTTTGTTCAAAAAGTAAATATTCATCTAAAAATTGACTGACTGACAGGAGTGATCTCGGAGACGAGAGGGTGGTCCTGAGTCTGCGAGACACTGAACTGGAGACGGTTGAACTCTCCCGTCACCCTCTCCAGAACCACAGCCGCAAACTCCTCTCTGGAGAAATGGAGGAGAATTTATCACCAGCCACAGAGATATTATTACCACATGTCTAGTCTTCAGCTGATCTGACGTGGGACTTTGTATTGTTATGCCTATCCTTCTGAATGGTGTTTTTGTCGGGCGAAAATTGTTCTAAGAACCATTGTTACTGGAAGAAAAACTATTTTTATGCTGTGCACAAGTAATTAGGTCACGAAATCCATTTTGGACGAAAAATTTAACTCGAACAGAACCAAGTAAATACAAACGCTATTCTAACTCTGTTACAGTGCCTAATAGGTGTGTACTATAATTATATAGATTATGCCACCTTTGCACGCGGTTCCATGATGTTTGATGATGAAACACTGTATACAGTTGTGTGAGCAATGCCAGACACTACTAGCTAATGCTTCAACTATAGCAGAGACAAAATAATATATTGCCTCTAAAGCAACCACTTTAGCTTATGACTTTCTTTTTGTGTATATACCAAAGTTTGTAGGCATGACCGTGTTATAGCATACCGCTCAGTCAGTTGAGCAACTTCAGACCTCTCCTCTGAAGGACTTGAGGGAGAGAGGGGGTGTGGTCTCCTCCGAATGTCGAGAAGCCGTTCGAGTGATTCCAGAGACTCCATGACAACCATTAGCCTCTTCAGTGTGGCCTACATCACGACACACACACACACACACACGACGTTAACTTTAATGGAAAACACTCAAACACCGGCCACAGTGTCTTCCGGAGAATTAGCCTCCATTAAGGCCACACTCTACGGGCCTATTATTATAATTACAAGACGTAAGCCTCAGTCACGCTGATTGAATTATTACCTTCTTGGCCCTGATTTCAGCTCGCTGTGCCAGCTTGGTCTCGGTGGCAGATATGGCAGCATCCATCACCTCCTTTATACCCTGATAGACAGTGCTATTATCATCACAGATTTAGGAGCCCCAGTACATATGTCGTACTTACAGTTGATTCTGGTTGCTGGCCCACAGCTGAATTATTATGCAGCAGCATATACCATGCACCAAAACTGTACAGTACCAGAATACACAGTAGCAGGAGAGATAGCGTAGTGGCACTAGAGTACATGCACGTACACGTATTGTATGTGGGCTCTGGAAGACGTGGAGAGTGGGAGTTGTGGGTGGGTGGAAGGCAGAGTAAAACTCACCAAAACCTCTTCCCTTAGTTGGGTCAGCGGCGAAGCAAGTCCATCAATGGACTTGTCCACTCCAACCTGAAGTAAACACACATCACTTACGTAAGGGTGTACGTGCAGCACAAGCATGTTTGTGTTTACGACGTTTTGTGCTTCGTTTCAAAAGCAGTGCACTTTAGATGGTGCTGACATAGACACAGTCATACTGCTTTTGAAGTCACGGATGCATAGTCACGTATATCCAGCCCCTCCGACAAAATAACCCACTTCTTCCGCAGACATGCGCGCACACGTGCAAGGTGCGCATTATATAGAACAACAATCGTTTGCCGTCCCCCTCGCACACGCACCAGATTTGCGGACAGATTGACGAAATCTGCGTAGTCTTTGTTGATAAGCTCCACCATGGCGCTCTTGAGGGTGCGGTAATAGGCGTCTAGGTCGTCGCGGAGGCATTCGATCGTCACCCGCTTCCTGCACTGGTTCACAAAGTCGTCGACGGTAAAACTCTCTTCCAGAAATACTTCAGTGGAGAAGCACAGCTCTTCTGCGTGTTTCGGCAGCGTCATGGTGTCTTCAGAGCCTCTGCTACGAAAGTTAGCCACTGCTCCCAAGCTCAAGGTCAAAGGTCAGGTGAGAGCGCCGGTCTCCTCCGTATATCATGGGTGCAGCATTCCGTAAACTATTCGGGGTAAATAAAGGGGACTGGACAGTCAAGTGAGTCAGGAACTCTCGAGCTAAAGCTTGTGCAATCGATCGGAAACTATCGGTCCCGAATCACACTAGACAGAGCGGAGAAACCGAGACGTAATTCCCAGCTGCTGCAAGCATGGCGACTGCGCTACCTCCGGCACCCGCCGAACTGGACATCCACAGAGCGCCCGGGGCTGAGCCGTCACCCCGGGACGCTGGCGGCTTCGTTGGTCTCCCGTCGACGTCCTCCGCTGCAACAACGGGCACTAGAGTGAAACGTGAGTCTCTGTAGCACTTGGGGCCGGTGACCGCAAGAAGAGGTGACGCTTCTTAGCAGTTGTGGTTGAAAGCAACGTGCAATTATCCGTAGCTGTGTTTCATGGCCTCTTGGATGTAGCTAGCATACAAAACCTCAGCAGAATCTATATCTTGCCTTATTATTCCCCCTCACCCCTTTCCTCTCTCACCTCTCTCTCTCCCTCCCTCCCTCCCTCCCCACTCCCCCATCAGCTGTGACACTGTGTGTGTTCACGATGAAGGAGGGAGAATCGGTGCAGGCAGTCTACCCGTCTGGCCGGTTCACCACAGTCAGTCAGATCCACGAAACAGTGATGGCCGCACTTGGCCTGCCCTCCGAAGTCGTCGACTGCTTCAGTATTTGGCTCTCCTCCAAACACCTCCGTAAGTGTATCAGCAGGGAAATTAGATTTTTATCTCACGACCCGTGCGTCTAAAATCGCGGCACACTAAGGTAACGAGAAAGAGAATCTGTTTTTTTTTAAAATGAGGATTATGCAGTACACAGAGTATAGTGTAGCTGGAATTAGCGTGTATCCTTTAATTAATGGCAAAGTCCCTATACAGCAAAAGGTGCTCTATTCCGTGGATGAACGGCAGTGTATACCTGAGATGGTAATACTCTGAACACCTGCTTGTATGGTCAAATGACACACAACCATGGGCTATGACGTTGCGTTCTTCAAACAAGGCACCTCCGGTTACCTGGAATATTCTGCTATGGAAGTCAATGCCATCGTAACCTTATTGGGTTAACGCGAAATATGCACACCGAGCGTGCGATGGAATTTCATTATGAGCAGCACGGTAGTGGCATAAAACAATTACAAGCTAGCAGTATCGTATCGCTGACATGCTTATGTAGGTCATGGATGTATACACTGCTAGTGTGGAGGATCGTATTTTTTTCACAAACTCTCTCACTCCCACTCTTTATGCACAAATCAATATCTTTTGTTCACACAAAGGTCCTCTGTACCCAGTGCACTCTTTTGTATAGTGCATGTGTTGACACACACGGACGACCTGCAAAAAAACTGTGTTTTCGCACTCCTAGAATGATGTGTTTCATGACCAAGTATGGTTACCATAGCGTCTCTCTATTGTCTACTGTATTCACCCACACACACACACACACACGCGCGCGCAGAGCTCCAGTTGAAATCCTATCATCTCCCGTGCAAGTTGTTCAAGAAGTGGAAGGATCTTCTCTCTCAGTACACCAACACCGCCTACGACGACATATGCCAAGGTGCCCCCATAATAATAAGACGTTACAAATACCCACATGCTTATATAAGTCATTCATATGTGCAACGCATGATATTTGTGTTGTTTATGCTAGGGACATGCGTACCTTCTCCATATTTATTACCATTGTCTGGGAAGTGAGGAGGAAGTAATGTTTTTGCTGGTGTTGATGATGATAGGTATTAGAGTGTAGCTCTGTGCCAAGGTGGTCTCCTACTCTACCTACTGTACATATGTATTAACTCTTCTCATTCTCACTGCCGGTTTTGAAACGTGTGTGTGTGAGTGTTATAGATTGAGACCTTTGTGCTTTCCACATGTTCAATCAGCTCTCTTGGTAGAGTCCCGTCTAAAAATTGAAATACTTGATTAAACATTGAACAAAACAGGAGAGGGGGTGGCAAAACAGCACATGTGTCGTGTCCGTATTTGTGGTTGTGTGGTGACTGGTGAACTGAGTACTAAGGTTTCCCAATAGCATTACTACTCTACTGGCAGCCCTGGCCTCGCTGGCTTCGTGTACACACGTTGTACTATGTACCTGTGCTTTCTATATAGAGTTTAGCTACGTATGTGTGTACTTGTGCCTGTGGGGTTGTTTGTGGGTATCACTAAGTACGGTAGGGATGGGCACGGTATATACCTAGCATCATTAGATGTATGGGGGCTATGATAGGTATACAGAGGAAGAGTTGACTCTTTAGTGCATCATCCAGATTAGTGTGAGTTTGGGTCAATTGAGGTAAATCGTGATTGCAATATGTAACTTGCAGTACACAGTTCCCGTTTACCAGTGAAAGTTTGCAAGGAAGTCAAGTGCAACCTTCTGAGAAACCACTGCATGTAGTACACACTCATTATGAGGTGTAAGGAAAGAAATTAAAGTCTCATTTCTCTCTATCTTCCTCCTCCTCCTCCCACTAATGTTCTGTAGACGAGCCAATTCTGACATTCCAGAGAAACACCTTCTTCCCTCTGAAGGAGGAGAGGAAGATGATCGATCCAAAGAAGAAGAGTGAGAACGAGAAAGCCATTGACCTCCTCTACAATGAGGTCAGTCAGTGTGTGAGCTTAGATTTTACGGTTGTGGTTTTGACAGCAAGTGTCGCGGTATGCCAGTGTTAATTTTTAAAAATGTGGGATGAAGCGTTTGTACCAAAGCACGCTAACGGTAGATGTGTGCACGATTGTAAGGCTATGTTGATGGGCTACTCATGTGTAATGAATGTCCACTTCCTCTACATGTATGGGTGGGTAGAGTGTTAATAAGGAAAGACTGGAGGGGGATGATAATAAGGGAAGTGATAGGCTTAGTACTAGGAAACCTGCACAAAGAGACACATGTTTGTTTAATGCTAACACTTCCTTTTCCTTGCCCCCCTCCCTCCCTCCTCCCTCCTTCTCCCTCCCTCCCTCCCTCCTCCCCAGGCTGTGTTCAACGTGACTAAAACCCGCTACCCTCTAGAGGAGACCGACTATCACGAACTAGCTGGATCCAAGCCGCCACTTTTGCCGTGGAACACCCGGGAGAGGGACTAACCTCGGGGAACCTCCACCCCTACCTACAGACATTCTACCCCCCTCACCTCCTGGAGACCCCCGCTGGGGGCCAAAAATCCCTCCTGAAACTGTTCCGACAGAGGTCGGTGGAGCACTCGCTGGCCGAGGAGAAGTTGAGAGGCCATTTCGAGAAGGTTGCAAGCAAAAGGCTTTCGGCTCACAACCTGAAGATACTCTATCTTCAGTACTGCTGGTCGAAACCCTTCTATGGGTAAGTTGTATATACCGTTGCAAATACTGCCACAGATTTCGATGTTAAAACTGAACTCCAATTGTGTTATGACCACATCGTATGCACTCGTTAACCTAATATCATCAGTAGGTCTGGTATTATAAGAGGTTTGCCAATTTCTGCCAACGTTCTTGGTTGCTTATGAACACGAGAAAGTAGTTTGTACACCGCTCGGCATCCAAATCCATTTAAAAAGCATTGTATGGTGGGGTGTGAGCCACGTCCATGTAAATATTAATAGCCCTAGTCAACTTAGCTGGCACTGGTTTCTGGTCACACTGTGGTAGTTTTTCTTCAGACGTACGAGAATAATGATGTTAGTGGTCCTTCTTCAGCCCCTATTTCGTCTTCGTCCTGTCACTTCTCCATTCGTGAATTAACTGGTGTACAAGCCAGTGCGTATCACACACACAACTACAACCAGGACTACACTTTTTCAAAGAAAATGTGTTCAGGTTGGTGACGTTTCGCGGGCAATAGAGAGACCGTTCAAATATCAAACCTTATTATAGTGGGTGTGGAATAGCAACACTGTATCTCACATTGTGTAAACCCTAGAACTGAAGCAGGCGGTATTTTGTCGTTGTGTCCAGTCGGTGATGTTTCACGGGCAGATAGAGAGACCGTTCAAGGCAGTCCACATCCTCACCTACTCGGACAAGAGAGTGACCGTCGCCCTCAACCCTCACTGTCTCCACATCCTGGACTCCAAGTCTCCTCCCGTGAGCTCACACACACCATCCGCTGAAAAACAGAGGATCCACTGCCCCATAATGGGGAATACACACTTCCCTGGCCCCCCTTTTTCTTATTTTAGCATACGTAAGGGTTTTTGTACAACGTGTACATCCGATTGTTGTCTTTTATAGGGACTTCACTTGTTTCACTTTCCTTTGCGCACACACACATATTTCCCCCCACACTCTCAGAATACTCATTCACACACGCACACCACACATCTTTTCATCGACTATGACTATCTCCCTCTCTCTCTCTCTCTCAGGGTATAATGCTGTACCTGACATACGACCAGCTGTCCTGGGAGTTTGAGGAGGCACCGGAGGACGGAGAGGACTTCTACAGCTCTCTGTGGCTGGAGTTTGACTCGGTGCTGGAGCTGGAGGACCGGGAGGAGAAGGTCACCAAGAGGGTTCAGGTCTTCTCACGACAGGTGACACAGACTACAAGTACCAGTTTTTTCACCAATGAACTACTATGAGAGCATACCATGTATATGCCTACTGATGCTCCATACACGCAGGCTCCAATGATGGATGCATGATCACGCGATGTGTGGAGATATTGTGAAGACAGAGGAGGAGCTCAAACAGATGAGAAAGGCCCAGGGCTACGATGAGTAAGTATGTCAGTCGATGTGTTGATCTTTGAATTCGTTTTTCGGATCGTCCCTATATATCTCGGAGGTCAAACAATACACTAAAGTCATAGGCTTGAAAATAAGTGTCCCTTTGTCAGAGAGGTCGTCCCTATCTCGGAGCACTAAAGTCATGGGCTTGAAATAAGTGTCCCTGTAGAGAGGTCGTCCCTATCATCGGAGGGTCCCTTATCGGAGTTCCCCTGTCCTTCCTGTAGAGTGCTGCCTGAGTGTTCCATACGACCCACAACCAGGAGAGTCTCCGCGGACACAGAGACAGGGACGCACTACAAGGAGGACAAGATGAGATGCACCACTTTCACGACAAAGGTCAGCTCTCCTCCAACAAAACCTCTGTCCTCTGTTCAAACAAGACAGAATCGTAACAGCCTTCAAAAAATCTCCTAATTCTCTCATCTACGGTAAATACAAACCTAGTCTTCACCTTTGAAAATTGTCATAACAAAAACTCTAACACCATCGGAATCCTCACAACTTTCCCGTTCAGATGGTATCCATTAAACCAAGCACTCTCACCCATGCATTCTGCAAATCACAGCAGCACAAACCATTTGTGCAGTACTCTGAGGTGAACATTTCTCTCTCTCTCTCCTGTCCCGTAGGTGAGATTATTGGCGATGGAGGGTTCACTCTCACGACGACCTTTCAAGAGACGCACCGCCCCGTTCGTGGCAGCAATGCCACGCCCGGAGATCTGCCCTGCCACAGGAAGGCCACGCCCTGCACCACTGGAAACCAGGGAACGCAGCAGCACCAAAGACTCTTTCTCTTCAACTGACATGTGATTTTTCACCTCTCCACAAACCTTTTTAAGAATCTATGTGTATGTGTAATATATTATACTGCATCATTTTCATAGCATATGAATTACATACTAAATGATAAGTGCTGTATTTGAAGACGTGTGCTGTATGTATAGCATAACTATACTCCACATCATGTGGTATGACGATTATAAAAGTGGCTCCGTCACCACCCAATGTGTGAAGCCCTACACAGAGTTTCCTACGGCCCTTCGTAGGTGGACTCTCCACTGTAACTCAAAGCAGCTGCTGAACAGCCCATTTTTGAGACCAGGTTGCAGTTTCCGCTACTCTTCAGATCTGCAACCAATGAAATTGCACCCGTTGCATCCCTACTAATCGAACCAGTTCATGCTACTCTCTCCAGGAGCATGATGCTTGACTCCTAGTGGAGCAGGGGACACTTCGATGGCGAGGACGACGCCAAGGACCACTGGGCACATGATCATAAGTACTAGCCAACGTGTAGATTCATATCTCACTAGACGACACCGACGTACAAAGGATCTGTATGCGCAGACCTGCTGAGAGGATGCGGTAGGTGATGCACATCGCTGAACTGACTTCACGCTGGATAAGGGAGTCGATTAGACGTTGACGTTCTCTTACCAACGCCTTCTCTAAATGACAGTCCGCGGACGTGGCTAGGGTTGGAGCATGAAAATGGCCATGTGCGCGATAATCGTGTGATGCACTGTCCTCTGAATCTGCAAACATGTTCTCCCTCCAAATCTGTGAGCCACTTCCCCCTATGGCTGATTACGTTTTGCGTGATTGTGCTGTACCTATAAGCGCAGTAGTAGGACGAGAGCTGATGTGGTGCAATAGTTCTCTCATCTCTGGCGGATGCTTTTCTGGACTGCGAATGGCTGACTCGCCACCCCGGTAGCCAATGCGAGCCATATGGCGAGCCAGACGACCCGAAGCTCATAGAAGCTGCTGTGAGATGGTGTCTGACCGACTTGTTTTTTGACTGACGCCCTTAGCCACGATCATTTCACGAGGCATGTGGTGGATTGTAGTAGGTTCTCGTGTTGGTCCTTCCATTTTCGGTTTTAGAGGCTCAACACCTTCTATGAAATAAGATTATCGTTGGGACATGAAGTTTACACTAACTCGTACAATGGTAAACGTGGTCATAAGTGGTTACCTGAACTTTGGAGAATGTATCTCGAAGACTGTGTTCGTCTTCTGCGAACTGGGTCAAACTTGCTTGGACGCTTCTGTCCACCTAATATGCATGAAATATTAACTAAAACTTTGTGTTGAACCTGCTGCTCTCTCACCTTTATGTACCACCTTCTCCTCCTCGTCCGTTGTTGGGGGCTTGCTAACTGGTGTGGCACTGGGTCCTGCGATGTGCAGTTCTGAGCCAAGGGGAAGAGGAGCCTCACTCCCCTCTCTCTGTCGTAGTGCCGGAAAGTTGTGCTCATACATGTCAGCTGTGGAGAACAACAGAGATTTGTATTATGTACTACAAAACATATATAGTATGGAAGTAGACATAGTATGCAGTTCGATTACTTTGGCTACTGACTGCATCTACTCACCACAATAAAGTGACAGTGTTCAACAATAACTATATACTAATGCAGCTTGAGATCCTCTGAAATCTTGGCTCACCATTTTTGAGAGCAGGATATTTTAGGAGGGTAAGAGCACTGGGTCGAGAACCATCACGCAGAGTGTCTCTGAAGATACTGACCAGCTCACGATCCAACACCATCTCAGAGAGAGGCACCAGTTTCTCCATGTCTTCATCTCTGTACTTCATCAACTGTGCAATAGAGAAAGAGAGAGCTAAGCCTTATGCTTGCAGAGCCTCCAACTCAATGGATCCGTCCGGAATTTGTACACCCTTTTCACATCAAGGTCGATTCAAGTCGATTCAAATAACATGACACTGTGTGAATGCCCCCAAAGGGGATCCTACTGCAGTATGTACTGTGTTCTAACTAACCTCGCAGGCCATACGTATTTTCTCATACATACATATGGCCCGCGAGACCACAACTAACCATGTCCCTCATGCTGTCTCTAGAAGTGAGCCCAGCACGATGGCCTGGAAGACTCCCTGTGACCAGGTGAATGAAGACACAAACTGAGCTCCACACGTCACTGTAGAAACTCAGCTCTTCTCTTCTGATGACCTATGTAAGTACAACAGGAGAAGAGAAAGCCCATACATTTTTCTAAGGCACATCATACCACTATCATTCAGTCTATGGTTTTATTTGTAACTTTCCCATGCCTCAAAAAGTTACATGTATGTAAACAGAGTTGGACTGGTGGAGTTGGACTGTACGGGATTATTCAGTAAGTTACGAACTTCGGGGGCAGCAAAGTGTGGAGCAACTCCTGTCAACGGCAGCATTCCAGGTCTTGAGACGTCCTCAAAGTAAAGGGCCTTCTCAAAATTTGTGAGTTTGAGCCTCCTACCACCTTCTAGAATGAGAATATTCTCACCTGTATGCAGAGAGATGGAGGAAGTGAGAGGGAGAAGGGAGAGAAAGGGGAGATGGGGGAGAGAATGGGAGAAGGGTAGACAAATAAAAAAGAGTGACAACAAAGAAAGGAAAAGTAGAAACGTGAAGGGAGAAAGAAAGGAAAGAAGGAACAGGAAGGGAGGAGGAAGGAATGGTAGGAGGGAAGAAGAAACACAAACTGTTAATGTTGAGATGAAGAACGTGGAGTGAGCGAAGGTGGGCGACTCCCAGCAGGATCTGGCGGAGGTAAAACAGACTCTGGTCCACACCTACGCTACTTCCCATCTCTCCATCCCTGTGCACCCTCTATCATGTTGGCAAGGCTTCCATCTGCACGCCAAACAACGTTCACTGACTCAACGTCAAACACACATGCAAAGTACACTGTAAAGGAGGAAACTTTGAGTTTTACTTGCAAACCCAAATTTCAAAAAGAAAACTTTTAAGACTTGCAAAATTTTATAGCTCGAAAGTTTCCCACTAAGCGCTTTCTCCTCCCCTTAGCCTTACGTTCAGCTAGCTCCGCGAAGAGGTTGCATCTCTGCGAAACTGTGTCGTTCTCCAGTAATGTCTCCTCCAGCATGGATCCAATGAACGTGACGATGTTCTCGTGAGGTGGTATCCTTGAAAGCATATCTGACTCCTTTGTAAGCCCCTCCAACATTTCTTCATCGTCATACGTTGTTGATTTGATCACAAACATCTGTACAGACACAAGGCAAAGTGAACGAGGATGCAGAGAGAACGGTAAAGTAAGGGGCAACCTTGCCGGTGGAGAGGTCCCTGGCACTGGTATATTCAGCTCTACCACTGCCGCTGAGAAAACTGCTGGTGTGATAGTCACGTCCTTGTAGGTACTGGCCATCAGCTCCATCAGTCACATACTCCTGTGAGACAGGGAGAGGGGAGAGAAAAGGAGAACAAAAGTGCAGACACAATGATACTGATTTCACAGTGAAATACACTGCTAGGGAATGCAAGTCTTTTCAGACACTATACATATTATATAACCTTCATGAGAGCAGCTCTTGCTGTCCACGTGGACCTGGAGAAGTTTGAATCCCAGTGCGTGAGATCCCGACCAGCTATAGTCACATCAGACAGCCTCTGCTCCAGTGTTAGCTCTGGGGTTACGGCTCTGGCGATGAACCAAATGCAGTGGGAAGGAACTCGGAACGCTGCGACCACAGATCCCCCAGTGGGGTTCTCGATATACATGCTGTAGGAGTGGAGAGAGGCGTTTTCTGCGATTGATTCTCGCAACTGTCGTATCTCGTGTAGCGTGCAGGCTGACGTTGGCTTGTTGATCTTCATGGCCATCTTGACAAACCCAGCCCTGATCTCGCTCTCCGGGCGAGCCGAAATGGCACAGAGGTAGACGTCGGTCGTTGTGGCCATCTCAAATGCCGTGAAAGAGTCTCGGTAGGAAATCATCCTGGTTTTCAGCTCCTCTCTACAGAACTTTTTGACGAGATGGAATATAATCTCGTAGTTGGTGTAGTTGCTGTACTGAGTGAGAATATCACACAAAACATCAATGTCTTTGGCTTGGCGGATCTCCTTCCTGTGCTGTTGGAAGAATTTGATGTGAGAGGCTTTCTTTGAGACAGGGAGTGCTAGGAGGTGGGCACGGAATCGTTTAGTGAACAAACGCTCTCGTGCCTCCCTCTCAGACCAAGATAACTGTGCGTCGACAAAGAGATCTGAGAATTCGTCTTCGAATCGCTCGATGCTGGCTCTGACCTGGGCCACTCTCTCATCGTCCACTGGTTCCGATTGGGTGGGTGTGGCTGAAGTGGTAGTCGGTGCTGGGGTTGGAGCAACTGCGACAATAGCTGGCTCTGGTGTTGCAGTAAATGACGGCGGCTGTTGGGCATTGCTTGAAGTTTGGGAATAATTTGCAGGATCTCTGGTCCGTGTGTCAGTTGAAGAAATGGGAGTAGTGATAGGAGTGTGAGGGAGGATTGTGCTGGTCGAAACAGTAGAGGACGAAGGAGTGGTAAGGGAAGAGTGGGCGGTTGAGAGAGAGACAGAGTCTGTTACATCGGCACTAGGGTGTGGAAGTAAGACTGTGGTGGTCGGAGCACGAGTAGAAGTGGTGCTACTACTTGGAGCAGATGCAGTGAACGAGTTGGCGGTTGAGAAAACAGCAGGAGACAAACACTTGGGTGTTAACTCTATTGGCATGTCAACTGTCTCCAGAGAAGAAAGAGTGGAGAAAGGACTAGCGGTAGGTTGAAGTTGACCACCAGACGCTGAGGAACCAGTGATCTGAGGCTCTTCAACAAAATTGGCTTTTATTTCCGCAGCCAAAACAGTCATGTCGATCTTTTCCAGTCCAGAAACGAGTTTCTCCCAGCTTGCGCTGACGTCCCTGTCCAGCCACTCTTGAATGAAGTGGAACTTCCTATCTTCACCTTTGTACCTGGCTTCGATGTTGTCTAGGACGGGGAGTGGCACCTCCAGCTTGAAGGCCAGGCGCTTTGCCTTCTCTAGCGTCAGTGGTCGAACGGCGCTCGCCACAGCCAGCGTGTGGAGGCCAGTGGAAGCCGCCATGGCTGGGAATAGTGCAGTGGGCGGTGGACGGGAAATCCCCTTCTTGCCCGCTAGGGGCGCGGCTTGTCAAGTTTAGCGCCCACGCGCATATGCAGGCATTGTTGTTGCTAAAATATCTCCGTCTTCTTTTTTAAAAAAAGAACACACTGGTTGCAACAAATCCAGCATAATATTTACGTACACAGCGGCAATATACACATCAAAAAAATGCACTGAATCAGGAGCTCAAGAGATGGTCTGAGACACCACTGTCCGAGACGGCCACACTCAAGATGGGTTCGTTGAAGACAGCCTCCAGTGTGGAGTTGGTGGTGAGGGGAGGGAGGGAAGGGAGGGAGACTGGGATCCCGCCGTCCGACTCGGAGATTGCGTAAGAGGTGCCCATGTCGGTGATGGGCGACATGACGGTGGAGACGTTGGGGATCTCGAGGTCTTTCAGCTCGCCTCCGTCTGAGCCAGCTGTCGGGGTGAGGGCTGGGAGGATGGGCAGTGGTATGGCAGTGCCTGGAGTGAGGAGAGAGTTAGTGTAAAAACAACTACCGTACTTGAGTCCCTCAAAATATACGATGACACAAAAAACAAACCCCACAACCAGGTGTGAAGCAAAACCACGAACACGTACTTAGGAGAAGGCTCGAGTGCATCGGAGATATATAGCATTATTGTGACTGTTAGGTGTTTGAAGGTTATCTTTGTTTGCCAGTTAATGGTGGAAGACTCAAAATGAAAAGGCATCAGTGCAATAATAGTCTACTACTCACAGCTAAACTTGGTGGGTGTGGGTGGAGCCTGTGAAACGAGGGGGGAGGAGCCGAGTGGGGGAGACGAGGAAGAGTGAGAGGAGGGGAGGGTGGAGGAGGAGAGGGCGGGAGGGTGTGACGATGACATGATGGGGTTCCCGGGGTGAACAGGGGGAGACAGCCATCGAGAGGGGAGTGGGGGAAGAAGAGGAGCCTGGGGTCGGTGTGGTGGGGGCACTACCTCCACTCTTCTTCACCAGAGAGAATGAAAGAGCTATTAGAAACTTGGTAGGGTATGGCCTGCTTTTAGGCACTAGCTCGGTTAGTTCGCAGTTGGTTTCGTAAAAGCAAGATTCAACAGTGGGTCCAATCCTAATTTTTCCCCATGTATTGCATGTTTAAGCATTTTCACTCACTCCCAATGTGTTATATACAAAAGCAGTAGAGTCTCCAATTGATACCAGTATAATATACCTGTTTGGCATGTGAGAGCATGTGTGACTTGAGGTTGGTGGACTGGGCAAATCTCTTGTTGCAGCCGTCAAACGGGCACACGTAGGGCCTGTCGCCCGTGTGGATACGGATGTGGGTCCGAAGGTTGAAGTCCAACGAAAATCGCTTGCCACACCCCTCGAATGTACACTGCGGGAAAGAGAGAGGGAAGGATTGTTCCTAACATCCAGTGTAACTGGACAAGCCCACACCTAGCCTAAAGAACCATCGATGTATGCACAGAATACAAGCTCCATACTTCAGTCACCCTTACACACACCACAGGTCCCATGAAACCTGGACCAACCTGGAAAGGCTTTTCTCCGGTGTGGACCAGTTGGTGTCGCTTCAACTTGGAGCTCTCGACAAAGGCCTTGCCACACTCTGCACAGACGTGGACGCGAGGCCCGTGAGTATGGAGATGCTTCCTCATGGCCGCATTGTCCCTGAACATCTTGGTACAGCCCTGCAGGGACATTCAACAACATACAGCGGATGAGACTTTTAGTCTTCCACCCCCGTTTCAAATAGGCATGCACCTGGGATTAAAAATGTACGAGTCAGCTCCCCCTTGTTTCCTGGCTAATGTCTCTGATCCAGCATACTATGGCATGCAGTCTCCTATAAAGGTAAAGATATACTGAAAGGCAGAATACTGCCACTAGAGTTACACGACCTGTCTAGTAATGTTTGTGACGTGGGCTTGCCTTGTGTGGGCATGGAATGGTCCGCTCGACACCATCGGCATCTCTCTTCTTCTGCATCTTGGTCTTCCTGCAAATCCAGAGCAAACACAACAGTCAAACTTAACCCGAAATCAACAGCTCTACTGCCTCACTTGGTAAACTCGACAATTGAGTCGGGATCAGAGAAGTCAAAGCCAGGAATTCCTTCAGGGTGGAATCTTTTTGCCTCTAGTGTACTCAAAGAAATCATCTCCTCCGTCTTCAGACATTTGCTTCCTTTGATCTGCAGCAGAGAAATGTTTTCTTAGCAAAATGTAAACACACAGAAGCGGTTAGTGACCGCTCTCTGTATGAATTTAGATTTCGATCTTAGAGCAGAATGGATCTAAAGCCACCCTTCCTTTCAGGTAGACGGAGAGGCACTAGAAATTCAGGCAGACACGTACGTACCCGTGGACCACATGGCGACGGCAAACTGCCCCTCCAGGGTCCTCACGGGCACGGAGTGCTTCCTCCACCTGCGCGGGCTCTTGCTGGCATCGAAACTGGCCTCGTTAGCCTCGCGCGTTTCCTTACTGGCCGCGCTGCTGCCGAGCACAGTCGATATCTTGAGGTTCGTGAAATGGACACTGACCGCACCTTTTCTCATCTTCCGCGACTTTTTCTTGGCCGAGGCTCCGAGCCTTCCTCCTCCCTCTCTTCCTCCCCCCGCACCGGCTCCGCCCGATCGTCTCTTTCTCCCGCTCCCGGCCGCGGCGGCCCGCTCTCTCCCGACGACGATCCCCGAAGACGAGCTTCCGTACGCGAGAGTTTCGCAGAGGCCGCCATTTTGTTCGTCAAAATGGCCTCCGCCCTGCAGGCCGTCTGTGTTTTGGAGGGCGATGATGACGTTATCCACGGGGTCCAGTTCGACCGTGAGTGTGTCGCCGTCGGTCGTCGTCTCCACTTCTTCTTGCACCATGAAATCCAGCTCGTCCGCTTGGCCAGGGAGCGGCGCCTGGCCCTGGATGATCGTCTCCACTTCGACGCCATGGTCCCCGGCGGCCATACTGTCGCAAACGTCATCAACATTGATTTCAACGTCGGAGCTCGAGTCCGCCATCTTGAAATCGCCCCACACGAGAAAAAATGGCTGCCGATTCGTCGTGAGGCGGACGTGAACGGAAGTAGTTTACGGTGTGTAGTGTGACGTCATAATGACGATCGCGGCGCGCGCGACACCGGCCGTTTTGTTTAGTTTAGTAGGCATCAATTGGAGTATGACCCAGAATGGAGAACATTGAAGACATTAGGATTCGTCCTTGCACCAACTCCAAATATGTTCAACCCTTTAGAGTCCTCTACAAGCAGGTAAAAAATGGGTTCCACCCACCTGTTGATGTGTATTTTGCTGTGTAGAATGGGAAGGAGTCACTTTGGGACTGTGTAAAGATGCATGACAGGTACGAAATTCCTTGATAGCTACAAGATCTATGACTTTAATTGTGCCTCTATCGCTACAGTTTGGGAATACTCGTTTACAACAAGACAAGAAATGCATTTGTGATCGTGAAGCAGTTCAGACCACGTAATTTACTCGGCATTGTATTATAATTATACCCACTCGACCAGTTTGATCTCTCTGCAGCCGTGTACATGAGCAAGAACCGAGGCATGTGGAAAAACTCGGAAGTCTTCCCAAACTCCCTCAGCCAGAAATCCAGCTCCTCTAACCCCGACACAGAGCCATCCTCCAAGAAACAGAAGATCGACTCGACTGCTGGAGCCCCAGAGAAAGAGGGAGAGGCGTCTGCGGCTCAAACGTGGGGTCCAAGTCACGAGGGGTGCACGTATGAGCTCTGTGCCGGTCTGGTGGACAAGGACCTCCCCCTGGAACTAATAGCCAAAGAAGAGATCCTGGAAGAGACTGGATACGACGTGCCGGCCGAGTCCCTCGAAAAGATCAGCTGGCACCACTCTAGCATCGGGACGGCGGGGACCAAAATGTACCTCTTTTACTGCGAAGTCACAGACGAGATGCTCATAAATAGTGGTGGGGGTAACAAGACGGAGGGCGAGTCAATAGAGGTGGTGTATGTCCCACTGGAGAAAAGCTTAGAGACTGTGTTTGACGATGCACTGTCCAAGTCATCTTCGCTCTGTTTCGGGTTCCTCTGGTTCGACAAGTACAAGAGACATCTGCTGAACAACACTTAGTGAAACTTTCTGTTAGGTGATATATATACACTTTTTGTTAAAAAGAAACTTGAACATCATTACACACATGAAACGTAACACACAATACGGGCACAAGTGATGACAATTATTAACTTAGAAACTTCCAATACGCCAGGCCAGCCAGCAGAACAAGTTCAATGACGATTACTGTGATGAGTATTATCCTGTTCTCGATAGCTCTGAAAGGAGGAGAAAGTATATACAAGATAGCATGAAGTTGCTTGTTTTTTAGCGTTGTTTGTGTGTCTCACTTGCAGGCGATAGTTCTTAGCAAACTCTTAGTCCTCTCCATCTCTGTTTCTATCCCAGCCACCTGGGGAAAAGTTATCATTTTCACTATTGTTGTTTGCCCCGTCAGGACCAGCACCAGCAGATTGGTTAACATTTCACTAACCCTTTAAAAAGGGTATCTGCCCTTCACTTTCAAGACCAGCATCAACAAGCAAGGTTTCGTATAGGGATAAGTAAAGACGGTATATCCCCCTGAGATACGCCAGGTCAACTTTCTGCTTTCCCAAAATGACCTTCAGCCCACCCCCAGAGTATAATATTCCTACAAAAAAATCTTCCCATTCAGACGTACTCTGTCCCTTGCTCTGACGAGTGTAGCTCTCTGTTGGCCGAGGTCCAGCACTATGTTGTCGGCAATCTCATCTGCACAACATGGAAAAATCTTCAGAGCTATCTCTTTGAGTGTGGAAGATAATTATATATACCAGTCTCAGCTGTAACATGTTGTGCCCTGTGCAGGCTCTGTGAGGCTCTTTGTAAAGTGGCAGTCTTCTTTAGTAGCTGATCTCGCTCCCCTGCCTACAGAATAATATGATTACAAGGTGGAAAAAAAACAACTCAAAACCACTGTCTTTCCTATCCTATAAACCGGTGATATATGTGGTAGATAAATGGCGCACCTCATAATGATCGTCTTCCTCTTCCTCTGGGTTTTGTCGTGAAAATAGTTGCTCTCTCAGGTCACTGTTGCTGGACTGTGTGTGAGGACGAAATGCCGTGCATGGCATATAATATACAGTACATACGATTGGCTAGGTTCAATCATAAATCACAACGTTATTTTCCACATCACACTCTTGGCTGCAATTTATTGTTGGTGTCTTGCATGCTTGATTAATTAAGCACTCTTTTCTTCAACATTTCTTTGACATTAATTTCCGTCAGTATACAGGGATATAATAATGGTCACTTTATTTAGCTCACCAGTTGGTGTCGGAGAGATGCCACATCTGCTTTGTACTGGGTTACTCTACTGAAGAGCTGATGCTGGATACCTTTTGGAGCCACGCGAACATCTAGCTGCATCTCACGCAACTACAAACGGAAATAATGGTTGGGATAAGTGGGAAAGGTATATCTTATTCGGCTAACTAGTGACTCTGCTTGGTCCAGTTTCTGCCTGGACTTCTGCACTCTACGTCTTCTGTCTTCTATAAAGGTTGATGCATGTGACAGTGGCTTAGAGCATGATGATGTACTTTTCTCAAAGTTGTGAACTGACCTCCATAGTTTGAAGGGAGCTGGAGAGATATTTCATTCCCTAGTTCCTTCAAGAGCACTTTTAACTGCCTCTCCCGTTCTTCAATGCCATCTATCGACATTTTTATTTCCCCGACAATCTTTAGTGCTCTCCAAATAGATCTTCATATCAACGATGACGTGATTATTACGCGTTATGCTATTTATAGGTAGACGTAACGTCATACCTGCAACGTGCCCTGCCCCCTACGCACCGTAGTAGTATAAATTCTACAGCTTCTTTCTCGGCGCACCAGACTTCTCCCCAGCATGAGTGTGTTAAACCAGGACACTAACACGCAGAAGAGCACGCCGCCAGTGTTCCCCGAGCTCCGCGACAAGCTCGTGGCCTCGCACAGACCCCCGAGGAGCGAGGACTTCCTCGGAGGATTGGGAGTCATCCTGCACGACTCACTCACTCCAGACGAGTGTCGCGCGGTGGTGGACGCCACGGAGAAGGTCGGCTACGAGGGAGCAAAGAACTACTGCTTCATGTACAACAACAGATGGAATGATCGGTTCATGGCCGACGACGCGCAACTGGCAGAGTTTCTCTGGGAACGAGTCAAGGAGTTCACTCCGAAGAGAGTGGAGGCGTTCGAGCGAACCTGGGAGGTGGACGGACTCAACTCGAGGTTTCGGTTCTGCAAGTACCTAGGCGGGGAGGGGCACTACTTTGGCCCCCACACAGACGGGATGTACACCGCAGATCTGGATCATCGCAGTCTCTTCACCTGCATGTTCTATCTCAACGGCGGCCCAGATTTCAAGGGAGGACTCACCAACTTCATTGACCACAAGACGCGTAAAGTGAACCACTCCATAGTTCCAGCCCCGGGGCTCTGCGTCATATTTCGGCAGGTGGACCTTCGAACCTACCACGAGGGAACCCAAGTCACCAGTGGGCTCAAGTACATCATGAGAACTGACGTCATGTACCATGCAGTCAGCTAGCTATATAACTGCCAATTTTAACCCATCCTTTTTATGATTTGTGTTGTACTCTATTCCATTATGCCTGTATGACTACATAGTGACACAAGGTAACTCGATGAGGAAGTTCTCAAATGGTCATATTTCTTCATCCTCTTGCCACGTCCACCTCCCCAGGCCAAAAGGTTGTCCTCTGACATCAGGTGCTTCATCACTGCCTGCATGACACGGTCAGCATCCCCGTCAACCCTGACCCCCAGACTAGAATAATCAGGAAGTGATCTGTGAGCTATGTGGTCAAGAGGGGTCTTTTGACGGTTCACAATCACAAGACGGAGAGGCTTCTGGCCCATTTCAACGAGTTCACAGGCTGGAGTCACTTGCATGGTGGTGCCAAGACAGAGACACAGGTCCGATTTTCTAGCATGGAACTCTGCAGTTGATAGAATGCTTTCCTCAAGGTTGTCGCGAAAGTTGATGATGCTGTCTTTCAGGAAACCCCCGCATCCGGTCTGCTCACAGCGTCGCCCGGTCCGATGGTTCAAGCCGCAGAGCTCACACTTCTTTGCATATTTTGGCTTTGCAACGGTCGCCTCCCCGAACTCATCCATGTCTTCATAGTGCTGACTTGCAACGTCGTCCATCACGTAGTAGGGCCTGAGGTAGCGATGGCTGCACTTCTCGCAGATCTCCAGGAAGACATTTCCGTGCAGTTCAGAGAGGTTCTCTGGAGGTATTCCTGACAGACCGTGGAGACCATCACCATTCTGAGATATCATGTGTTTCAACAGCCCCATCTCCATCAGTTTCACGAGCGCCTCATGTGTGTAAGTGGGCCTTAGTTTCTCATAAGCAACTCCGTCATCCACTGTGTCCTCCTCATCCTCCCCAACCACCACTTTTTCTTTACCCTGTGCAAGTGCACGATCCATTTCCGTCCACTTTCCATCTTTTCCCCTGTAATCTCCAATCCCGGCTGAAGTGGATATGCCTGCACCAGTGAATGCTATGCAGTAGGAAGATTGTTTCAGAAGGCGAGCTATCCTTGCAGCTTCTCTCTCCAAATCCACAGCCGAGTCATGCCATTCAGCAGTTTCCGATGCTTCTCTCACTAAAGATTTCTCCTCTTTACTCATCCCCCTTGTCCGACGGCCCCTTGCTCTGGACTCTTTCTCCAGTCCAGTCCAGCAGCTCCCGTGAAATTGAGCCTCTCCCGAAACTTTGTGCCACCTCACGACGCATTTGGAAAGAAAATCCTGGCTGGTCTTGTTCATTCCGACTTTCACTTCCACCAGAGTCTGATCGTGCGAGTCGATGGCCTTTCCACAGCTCTTTAGAGAGCATATCTTTTCTTCAGTAGCGGCGGTAGAGGCGTGAGCTTGGCCGGCCTTCTTCGGTTTCTTCGACTCTGGCTCTAGAACTTCGGTAGGAGCGGAGGACGTGGTCGAAGCACTAAACGTCCTTCTCTTCCTCAGTCGCTCCTTGAGAGGCAAGCTCCACGGTTGTTCTTCCTTTGCCATGGGTATCAACCGAGGATCCAAAACTTACGACGCGGTGAAGACACGCCCCCATATATGCAGCAGCTAGATCAGATAGTAAGTGAGGGGTGGGGCTGGAGAGACCACACCCAAGATGATGTCATCTCCATGACAATGCGCAGAGAAAAAAACGAACGCGAGAGCCGGGGAGAAACAACAGCAGCCGTAGGGCCAGGAGCCATGTCTCTACAGAGTAAGCTGTGATCCGCGAGTGGGCTTGGCAGATTTTCCTGCTGGTGTGCTGTCTTTCAGACTACAGACTGATGGAGAAGATGGGCGAGGGGACGTTTTCTGAGGTGCTCAAATGTCAGAGCATGCTGGACGGAAAACTCTACGCCTGCAAGAAGATGAAGCACAGATATCGCAGGTATAATACTGGCTACTTCGCCAGTCTACCATTTTCTCCAGCTTATGAAGATGTGTTTGTGTTTGCCCTTAGCGAGGATCAGGTGAACAAGTTGCGAGAGGTGCAGGCTCTGAAGCGGTTGAATCCCCACCCACATGTCATAGATCTCAAAGAAGTCGTCTTGTAAGTCAGTGAATCAATTGCCTTATCAGTCACTTCTTCATAGTGAAAAGCTGTGCTCTTGTACTTTTACTGGCAGTGAAAAGAAGACTGGTACTATGGCACTCATCTGCGAGCTCATGGACATGAACATATATGAACTTATCAAAGGTTTGACCTATTGTCTAGTCAAAGATTCATCTTGGCCACATTGATTTATCAAGTGCATTTGATATGCTGAACTGTAGACCGCAAGTCCTACCTGCCAGAACAGAGGGTCAAGCTCTACATGTACCAGCTGTGCAAGGCCATCTACCATATGCACAGGAACGGCATTTTCCACAGAGATGTGAAACCAGAGAATATTCTCATCAAGGTATGTACATACACACACCAACTGCCCTGGGTGGTAGTACGTGACTCAAACCCACGAGACACTGCTCTCAATACATTGACTCATCTTACTATCATGTGTATATAGGACTCTGTTCTGAAGCTGGCAGACTTTGGCTCATGCAAGAGTGTCTACTCGAACCAGCCTTACACAGAGTACATCTCCACCAGATGGTATGTCCTACCCTCCTCTTCCTTTTGATGAAAAATTTTTTGCTACAAAAAAGTATATATTTCGGCAACTTTTGTGAATTTTTTGTGTGAAATTCACCAAAGTATAATGTTGAAAACCCCCAGGTACCGAGCACCAGAATGCCTACTGACCGATGGACACTACAGCTACAAAATGGACATGTGGAGTGTGGGCTGTGTCATGTATGAAGTCATGAGGTCAGTTTATTACAGGGACGACGGGAATTTCCCTCTAAAACCAAGATACACTTTCTCTCTCAGTCTCCGACCGCTGTTCCCTGGTTCTAATGAGCTCGACCAGGTCTCCAAGATACACGGAATCATAGGAACACCATCCAGAGGGACACTCAGAAAACTCAAGAAATTGTGAGCCTCACAACAACTCCTTTCCTATTATTCCCCCCCACCTTTACAATTTTTTCTCTGTCTTTCTAACCACTGTCCACAGCCAATCCCGCCACATGGAGTTCAACTTCCCGCACAGTGCTGGAAGTGGTATTTCGCCGCTCATGAAGCATGCCTCCAGTGGCTGTGTTGACTTGGTCGCTCAGCTCTGTACTTACGATCCTGATGAGAGACTGGGCGCAAAGCAAGCTCTGAGGCACCCTTACTTCAAAGACCTTCGGTACAGCTATTTCACGTCTTTTTAAGTCTGTAATGTATTGTTGATGTTGTTGTATATAGTGATGCAGAGAGACGGGGTAAACAAGCGACAAGGAGCCCATCCATTGCGAGCAACGTCAACGAGTCACGACTTCTTGCCATTCCTGGCAAGAAAACGCAACACCAGGAATATTCACGTGTAAGCTGGTTTCATGAGAGTGTGAAGTGCTGGCACAAGCATCTTTGAGGGATACAGTAACATGAGATGTCAGTTTGTGGCGCACATGTCCAACATGCGAAAAGCACACAATATTGTGTATCACATATCGAACTGCTTCTTTTTACAGAGACGGAAGCAGCAAGACCATCATCACATAGCACACTCACAGGTAGACCACACAGAGCAAAGCTGCCCATTGCTATAATATTAACCCTGTTTTGAACTAATTCACCAAACAGCTGCCTGTTGTGTCGCACCATCAGGTGAAGGGTTCCCACCACATACAGCCAAGGGTCGGTGACATGAGGGGAGATGCATCGAGCCTAATTCTGCCTCAGATACAGGCCAAACCGATTAGTGGAATACAGTCAGGGTTTTCCTCAGTTTTGCCCTCCCACAAGAGCACTTCTCACCGACACTTTCTTCCACATGTCTTCTCTGATACCAGAACACATTCCAAGGTAGGCAGAAAAAATGTTTTCTGTTCTACACTGTCTTATCAACCTTTTCACAGCACATCCCATTTCCCTCTCATCCTCCTTCTCACCACTTCCAACCGCCACAAGGCACGAAGCAGCAGCCTCTCCCAATCCACCACCTCCCTACGCTCCCAAAACACACTCGGACTGGTGCCGGCTATCCAGGATAGAAACGGCCGTAATGTGTATTGCTATGTCTTTGGTGCCACTAACGTCTTCCAGGATGATGATGCGATGGCGCTCGCGCTGCGTTTCTGCTTTACGCGCACGGCGCATGCGCAAGAAAACGGGAAACTGTCGCCGTGGTACGCCGGCCGGCCGTATACATACTGGGGCGGGACGGCGGTGGACTATGGCGGCCCTACTTCTTGGAGTTTTTATCCAGCGACCAAAGCAACCAGCCCTTCAAGACGTAGACGAATTCGTGCGGCAGGCTCGGCGGGGCCCGACCGTCCACCGCGCCGGACAGCCGGAGAACACTCTGGCGGCGATCCGCAGCGCGAAGGAGGAGGGGGCCGTCGGCGTGGAGATTGACGTCATGCTCACCAGAGACGAGCACTGCGTTCTACTCCACGACGACACGGTGGACAGAACGGCGACTAACGGAAGCGGTAGAGTCTGCGACATGACCCTTGCGGAGTTGAGACGCCTCGATTTTGGCGACGGGGTTCACACTGAGCGCATACCTACGCTGGAGGAGGCTGTTTCTCTGTGTGAGGAGCTGGACCTGATTGTTTTCCTTGACGTCAAACCGTTCAAAACGAGGAAGGTATATAGTCTGGTCGCTCGGGCTACTAATTACACATGATCAACACGTTTTGTGCTTGCAGGATTTACGAAAGCTCTTGAGAATCTTCAACGAAAATCCTCTCCTGTATCAGAGAGTGTGCATCATCTCTTTCTACATAACAGCTCTTTACAGAGTAAGTTATGCCCTGAGCGACACATCCAATACCCATTTTCTTTTGCACGCAGTTGCGATCCATGGACCTGAATGTGCAGTGTGGACTCTGTCTGTACTGCAACTCTCTGTTGGCCACAGTGGATGGATCTGAGAGGACTTCGCTGTGGGCCAAGGCTCTCTCTCCGCTAGTGGACTGGGCCTGGTTCCTGGCTCTGGAACAGTCTCTACTTGACTTTGTTGGGGTTAAAACCGTCCTCTTCTGCAAGGATGACATCCTGAAAAAGAGGCAAAGAATGATGCCTGAACCTGTGTTGATTTTGCAATAATTATATTCTGCATAATGAGACTGTTTAGTGAAGATATAGTACCGTTTCATGTTGCGTTTGTTTGCAGAGTGGATGGTGAGAGGTGGCGCAAAGGAAGTCAGAATCTCTTCGTCTGGACGGTCAATAACAAAGAAGAGAAACAGGAGTTTTCACGGAGAGGCATTCCCTTCTTCACTGACTCACCCATCAGAGATATGTCTGAAGCTTGGGGACCACCTTCTGTGCCTTCCTATAAAAGGCCACTGATCGCACTGCTGGTCCTGCTAATAGCATTTCTATTCATCTGGCTTGTCATGTGAAATTCTTGTCTAAATTGATTAGCGCGGGATATTATGCACATGCGCAAAATTTCCACATGGAGTATCAGGCTCCAATGATGTCCCTCTCCGTATTTGTTGGTGTTATATCGATTCTTGTTGGAATATGGGCAGCGATAATTTTTCTACTTCGTCTCTACCGGTTGCCCAAGTTTCCCAAGAGCCGCGTGGACGCGTTTCTGCAGAAGGCATGGCGCGGTCCGGTCGCGCACCGCGGAGGTGTCCCCGAGAACACCCTGGGGGCTTTCCGTGTCTCCAAAAGCCAGGGAGCGAGCGGAGTTGAAGTGGACCTGACCTTCTCAAAGGACGGCCACCCAGTACTGTTACACGATGCTACTGTGGACAGGACGGCCAGCAACGGCAGTGGACGAGTGGCTGACTTGACACTCAAGCAACTCAGAGAACTGGACGTTGGAATCAAATATGGGTGCAGTTTCGTGCACTCGCAGACGATTATTTGACTCACACTCTATCTACACTAGGTCGGAGTTTGCCGGGGAAAGGATACCGACATTGAATGGGGCGCTAGACGTGTGCGAAGAACTGGACTTGGTTCTCTTTCTGGAGCTCAAGGGAGGAAGCACTGATAACGTAAAGTGTACACCACACACAGTGAAATTCAACTGAATTTGCCATCTGAGTGTTGTGACTCTGCGGCGTATAAACTGTCTGGCTTGTGTGAAGGAGTGACTGAATTGTCCTAGATAGTGTTTCCTCCTACCCTAATGAAATTCCTCTTCCTTGAAATTCATCCTCTGGGCTTCCTATAGGTGTTGCGTACCATCAAGGAGATGTTTCTAGAGAGGCCCCATCTGGCTGACAGAGTGTGTCTCGTATCATTCTGGCCATGGATGCTCTACAAGGTCTGCTGGTCCTATAATACACCGCCGCGCCACTAGACAGTAATATCATTCACAGAGCCCAAGTCAAAGATTTCTATGTCAGGCCACCCTTTGTTCTGTCAGCCATAGTAGTTTGAAAGTGTAAGTAAAATGAGAGCTACAACACACACTTTCGGGAGAGAGGATGGTAAGAGAGGAGGGAGTGAGAGTAGGGTGAGCAAAACCAGTCTTTTTCGCAAAAAAGTTAGCTTGATGCAGCATATTATGTAGTTTACTTGTTGTGCATTCACAGGGTGATGTGTTTCTCTCTGCTCACAGGTTCGACGAATGGACCCAAAGATAATGTGTGGCTTTACAATACGCAGGGAAGAGCTGCAGTACACGACAAGCGGAGAGCCCAAGAACCAGGAGCTGTGGAAACATATCCTGGCAGGCCTGGTGGATAGAGCTGTGTTCTGGTCCACACACACATGGCTGTGGGAGGTACTGGGCATCAGCCTCCTGCTGCCTTACAAGGGAGACATCTTGGAGAAAAGGTCGGTGGGAGAGAGAATGTTTTTTTACTGCATGCGGAGGTTTGGATTCCCAAAACATTTCTGCCCAATTGCATATTAATACATAAGCACCCTCATATAAGGTGTAGGACATGAGAATTCATAGACGTGCTAAGGGTGGGTAAGTTTCTGCCTTATCGTGTCTTCATTGGGAATACATAGCATACCTTCCCACAAAGGTCTACTGATATTGCATCACACACTTCCAGTGATGACTAAAGGCACCTTGCAATAGCGTTTCGCGGGAACTCTTTGCATCATTGCCTGATTATGTCTAGATTAGAGGAGCAATATTATGCATTTGCTAAAAGCAAAATCATATTCATGGGCTTGTGGGAATAGATTGATCTCCCACATCATTGCCTGGTGTCTACAACAGAGGAACACTGTATAAATACGTTCAGTGAAAGATATATTCATGTGTTGTGTATAAGGATTGATCCAGATCTGTGGTACGGTCGAGGCGTTAGACTGGTGACGTGGACTGTCAACAGCGATGACGAGAAGACTCATTTTGAGAATGTTCTTCGGATGCCGTACATGACTGACTATGTCAGGAGGCAGGGACAGCGCTACCAAGCAGACACAGTGTAGAATGGAACCACCATAGAGAAAGTCAGGGACATCATAGAATTATCAAACTCCTTAGCTCATTAATCATTTACTATTTTCAACTAGAGTTGTAACACTGCAAGGCATACATTTTTCGCTGAATGAAATTTGGATTTCCCAGAAATAATTTTCACTATTGAACACAAACGCTATGTACCACTTACCACTTTTGAAAGAAAGATATGCAGCCCGCAATAATTCTTTTACACAACACAATACTGACGGCTTCTGATAGAAATGTGATGAAATGTGACAGAAGGGGGCCGGCACTAGATAATTCTGAGCCAGAGTTTCAATCTATATGCATCCACACCGTTGAGGTAGTACTGATGGAGATACCGCTCTCGTATAAACCCCAGGTTTTCGTAGAGAGATAGAGCCACTTTATTAGTCACTTCCGTTTCCAAAACAACCTATGATTAGATTTAACCCCCTTCAATAAGTTATTTCAGCATGCAAGTTAGTTGTATGTATGTTTAAAGCAAGGAATTTGGAAGCCTGATTAAAATTTACCCCCTTTCAATTGCTGCATGTAAGTATATATATAAGTACACTTCAAAGCAAGGAATTTGGTGGCTGAAGCAATGGGCTTGCAGAGATCAAAAGGCGCAATGGCTGGGGAGAAAGCTGGTTACAAGAGAACAAAGAGACCACATGGTATAGCTTGACCCTCCCATATTATGTGCTGTTAATTTTGTAATCTTTTCTGAGTTTAGTAAGTGGTCAATATATGTTATGCTAAAAATTCTATCATGGCTGAAAATTTTTAGGTCTGTATGTATGAAACATACCTCACAGCATCCCTCGGCTGCCATCTGTTTTATGGTCATCTTCACAAGGGTTGATCCTGCAATTAGGAGCAATAACACCCCAGACATCTCTAATGAATGAGACACAGACATGACGTTTAGGGGAGGTTGGTTTGCCTCGTGTCTAGACCATTAGGTGGGAGGGAAAACCTTTTAAAACAGTCTGGGCATGAGACTGCGTGATTACATGGATCATTAGGTGGTAAGCAAGGACCATCTCAGTAACAAGTATATTTTATATCAGACAACAAGCATGGCATCTCTGTCTGATCATCCATAACAAGGGTTGGCTTTCATGCAGGGTGCTCACCTATTCTTCTCTTCCGGTAGTCCTTGTCTACAGCCAGCATGGCAATGTAGCCACTCTGTTCGCTGTATGTCTCCATCTTGCACACGACCGCTCCCAACATACTTTCCGTCACACATTGCCTGCATGTTGTCACAGATATTTCTCTGTTTTCGGGCCTTGTTACAACACTATATAATATAGTCCCACCCAACATAATATAGGAGATGGGTATATACATTATGTCTGGCCAGTGAGACGAAGTAGAAGGGGGAAGGGAGCTATAGTGCATATCAAAGACATGACAGCGGTACATGTGCCGTGGGCTACAGCTGGTTATACTGGCACTCTGGTCATACCAGGAAGCAGAGGTTGGGCCAGTTGTGGATGAAGTAGCGGTAGGTATAGATGGAGTAAGGCTCCGAGAGGTCCGCCTTCATCAGTCGCATGATGTGGGGCAGCTGCAGCTCAGATTCGTACTGCATGAAGGTGACACCCGGGGGACCCTCGTCAGTCGTCTTCGTTACTGCCTTCTCCGGCGACAAAGCGTCCTGCGCTGCAGGAGTGGCCTGGGGCTCGGGTTCTAATTGATGCCCACTCCAAGCCACACGGCGTTTCTCGCTGCCGTCATCATTCTCGGCTGCTGGAGGGTGTGGGGCCAAGAGATCGTCGACATGCAGACTCTTGTCGTGCTGCATCTTGCGTTTCTCGGCCAGTGGTGGATTTCGTGCCAAGCCAGTTTTCCAGGAAGCACGCCCGGAAGTTATCTGGTAATTTCGATTAGTCTAGTTTGTTTCCGCCTCAGTAATAAAGCTCGTGCCTTAGAACATTAGCAACTTATTTTTCCTACTGCACATGCTGTGTTGCTGATCCCAGACCTGAAACATCTCTAAAGAGAAACGTCGTCTTACCGTTCATTCTGATCCCTGCAAGGCCAGCTCCTAGGTAAGGTAATAAGCTAGCTATGTAGCTATTCCTAGCTAATCTCGTGGCTAGAAAAGCTGTATGGTTGTGTTGAGAGACTGAGTGAGACACGAGAGTGTTTTTGAAACAGTAGTTTCGGTCTCCATCTGCGTGTGCATATCTATAGCGACGACGTTCGTAGAGATCTAGTGCATTGTGTACTACGTTGTGTGTGTTGCTGACTGTGCATTGCGGACTGGGCCAATGCTGAGATGTGTCCATTGTCTGTTTAATAGCTGTTTAGTGTAGTAGAGCACTATAATATTATTGTGGTTAACTAACTTCAGCACTTGAGATGGCAAGATGATTTGGTTTGTGAACAAGCATACACCTGCAGCGATAATTACCTCGTAATATTTTAAGGGTACACACTCAGTAAGGATATTGAAGCATCATATGAGTAGCGCATGTGAATGCAAAGGGATGTGTAGTCAGTCATACAGCTTGTGAGTGAATAATGAGCCGATGTGTGTACTTAGTAGTACTTAAGTAGTACTTAGTAGTACTTAGTAGTACTTAGTAGTACTTAGTAGCACTTAGTAGCAGTATTCCAACCTCATGTCCACTCCTTTTTTAGTTTACAAAGGGAGTAGGATGTTTGATGTGGGCCCCCTTCACTAACACAAGTCTTATTTCCAGAGCCCCCCCCCCCCCAGGCTTCGTCCTGTGTTACTCACATCCTCCATGAAATTGCATTATTCTCTTCCCAGTAATGTTTTGATATTATGTTCTTTTGGAAGAGCCCTCCCATTCCCAGTAATGTATTGACACCTGACATTTTTACTATTAAGGTATAGACATATGTGGGTGGTTGTCAGTTTGTATTAGTTTTCATGCTTGGAAGAAGCCCAGGCCTCACTCCTTGTGCGTTACACCTGCAACAGTGTAACCCGGTCCATATGTATGTTGTAGATGCATACAGCTGTCAAAAATACATTACATGTCTTTTATCCCTGCTGGCGCACATGTGCATGCGATGATATAAGACAACAAACCAAGCATGCTTCTGTACATTTGCAGTAGTATATACTCTTGTGTGAGAAGTGGGACTGTGCAAATTGTGTACATACAACGTTTACACAGACCTGACAAGACATGCTTTCCACGTAACATAAGGCACGGCCAGACATTACTCGTGGCTGTTGCCAACTCTGCATCGCCACAAATTTGCACTCACTCCCTATTTAGTAGCCCCCTCGTCTTTATTCTTGTGTACGTCCTGATACTTTAAACTATGGGCGTCGTCTTGATACCTCTAGCTCCAGCTATCATCCTAATACCTCTACCTCTAGCTATAGGCGTCGTCCTGATACTTCTGATACCTCTAATACCAATCTCCTGTAGCTTAATTCTGCTAAAGCTACAGCTAGCTATACATGCTCCATTGCATGGCCCATGCTCTGTATATATACACAGTGTGTAAAACGATATAGATATTGTGTGATAGAAGGTTTGCTTATGATTTGCTTACTTGAGCAGAGGCCTGCCAATGGTAGACAAATGACAAGGAATGTAATATCGTTGATTATAGGCTTGCATTAGTATGACCATCTAACGAATCGGGTGAGTCAGAATCTACGTATGTCTCAAATCCAGTCCTATCGAGATACCAGTCACAACCCTACATATGCATCACCATTGTGTAGATTTGTGCGTGGGACAAACAAACTGACGGGTGCATGTGAAGGGTGTTGTGGTGACCACATGATGTGTACAAAGTGGGAAGCTGTGTGTGGAGATTTTCTGGAGGCGATGAAATGTGTGTGCGGAATCTCCACCACAGCCTCCCATGTTTTAGTATATAGCACCAACTGCCATTCTCCTGTGGGTGTGAGTGATGTAGTGGTGGGAATGAGGGTCATTTGTAGTGGGTATGACATCATCATTTGGATTCTTCAGCCATCTCTCTTAGTCTGGAATTTGTGACTGGGTGTGGAGTTGAGTGGCCTGTGCTTGACAAAAGGCAGTTGGCAAGTACATGTATGTAGTCATGTTCTCTGATTAACCGTACATTTCATATATCGGAAGCACGCAAAAACGTAATTGCTATCTTCCAACCTCCTCTATAGAGGAGCCAAAGGCCATTTGACAAAAATATTTCAGGTCTTGTGTGCATTGACTCGTACGTAATTACGGGCAAAAGTGCGCATTAAATGGAATTTCACCCATAATGCCAGTCAAAAGCTAGAAAACGGTAAACGGTCTTTCTGAGCACAAATGAGCAGGAATCTGGCCTCTTTCGTTCCTGAATAGGTCGCGTCTCCTTACTTTTGATCCTCAGTTCTGTGTACACCGTCTTATTATTTATTAATCAACACACCAGGATAGATGCAAAGCAAAGACAAGGCAAATTTAAAAAAAATAGAAAGGGAACAACAGAAGCTCAGCACCTGTCAAACTTAAATCTCGCTTGCTTTACATAGTTAGTTAAATGTCACTTTTAAGGACTCTCTTTGCTTCTCTCATTTTCACCTTTTTGCAAGGACTGAAAGTGTTTTTAGGTGAATGTGTGGTGTGTGTGGCCACACCACATACAAGGAACGTGGATTAGTGGGGATTGGGTTTCCTTTCAAGATCTCTTTCAACCGGCAGTTTTGTGACTGCATGCCATTTCTTTGTCATCCTGCAAGCATTTCTCTGTCTGCTTGTAAAGGCAGCACCTATAATACATGTACAGATCTTGTTCACGGTGTACAGTGTTTACTGCTTCAATTGTCTTAGTGTGTTTGTCTCATGTAGCGGCGAGTGGGCAAACGGTCCATGTGCTTCTAGTTCACTGTGGGTCTGTATTAGGATCAAGTGCTCCACAGTGCTGTGTGTGAGTGTGTGGGCAACTACTCTTGCCTGTTATGGTGGCATTCCTTGTCCTTCCAACATTGTTTTAGACTGTTCCGGTGTTCTCAACCATGTTCAAAGGTCCCGCTGTATACCTTTCGCTCACACATTGATAGTATTATATACAGGATAGTATGCCTGCGTAAGAAGGCTACAAGGGAATACTATTTTCCCTGGATCAAATTACTTGCTGTTGGTAAGCTTCTCAAATTGCTCTTCACTGTCCCCCCTCCCCAACCTCACGCCCTCCCAGGACTCCCAAATGGGAGGGAAACCCTCCGCCCGTCGTAGAATACAAAGAGATACTGAACCACGTTGGTTTTACCTTTCCAAATGCTACATACATATACTGGACACCTTGCTTCCACCACACGACTTTGGTTAGTATAGCTTCAACCTTTATATTATATATCCTACCGAAACTGAAGTACAGTAGTTCAGTGCCACTGCTGCCCATCGAGCCTTCTCTTCTCTAGTCATCAGTACAATGGCAGCTGACGTGATTGAGTGTATGGAGGGAGGGGGCCAGGTCTGCTGCATTGTGTACGGTAGTACTTAGTATATAGGGATGACACAGGTTGTCCTGCATTATGCCCATACATTTGAGATTTTCATACACTTGTGGGACCCACAACGACATTCATACTTCATAAGAGGGGCGGGGTGACTACTCGTCATCGGAATGAATGCAATCAAGCATGCCAACCAATGTGCTACACACTTGCACATAATAATGTTGGGTATTCCTAGAACAATCTGGGATGTGTTATTGGTATACCGGAAGCAGAGACTACGTGAATAAGCTCAGAAAGTGTGTGTTGAAACTTTTCTCCTGAATCACGATGTTAGCCATTAATATTAGCCTCAATCCCTGAGGAAGTTTGGTGTCGCCGAGAAGAAGTTACTGGAAATGTGCCACTTACACAATGGAGAAAACGGAAGTTTATGGACATTAGGTAGACTTTGAATATTACCTTGTCACTATTCATAGTACATATATACACCACTGAGTGTATGTATCAGTGATTGTATTATGCCTGAATCATACGCCCCCACAACTCCAAAAGGTGTTCAATACATTGCATACTGCTTAGCACACGCAACACGGAGAGGGAAATGTAATAGGCCCTGCGGAGGCCTCCAAGAGATGTGTGTGTGTCCGGTGAAAAATACCCTTCATTTCTTATTCTTCCTTATTTCCGTGAACTGCAACCCGCACCATTATACACGTATCATGACTGTATATGCCTACCGCACTATGGCATCAATATTTATGCTAATGTGTGGACACGTGATATGTAAACACTCTAATGATATGGAGTGACTGCCGGTGTTGGGGAGGCTCACTGCTTAGATCTCAGTTACCAGTTACCACGTAGTGTGTTGGTGTGTAACAAGGAATTGTTGAAGGTGCGACATGTATGGGTTATGATGTAATTCACCCAGTATACAACATTGATGTGGTTGTCATGGCACAGAGGGAGGTTTTCGTGTGTCATTGATTGCATCCTGTAGCTATATACACAGTTCACACCAGTTCATCAAGAGTAATAGTCTACTGGCTTTAGAGCTAGAACTTGATTGCATTCTTGTTGCCATGGATGGCTTGGGAACGTTTATTGTGGGCAACCTTCTCTGATGCGGGCCTTAGGCTCCCATAACCAGTTTATACTAGCTTACTATCTGTCCAACCCCCCCATATGGGTAACGTTGGAGATAAGATAATCCCACCATTTTTCGGCTTATACTACTCTGGCTCCAGAAAGCGGAGGACATTTTCACACTTCGATGTCGTCACGTCACCTCACCTCACCTCACTAGAGCGCTGTATATGCTCCACCCACCACTACTCAGAAAACCCACTGAGTCAGCACTGTGTTAAGAACGCATTGATTGTGCAAAACCAGCTCTATTCAGTCTTCCGACCTTTCTCTCTCCCCCTCTCCTGGAAAAACAACCGAGAGGGGGTCTGAGCGGTAGGCTTTATTGTAGCTGTGCACTGGACAAGAGAGTGGTTGGGTGGCTTTCCATTATGTACGTATATAATGTACAGCATACCCGCGTTACAGAAAGTGTTCTGTGAGTAGGTGTGGTTATTAACCCTCGGCGCGCATGCACAGCAAGGGTTACGGTACTTGGTTTGTGAGTGTGTGTGTCTGTCTGTCTGTCTCCGTCTGTCTGAGGGTTTTGACACTTTCATTGCTAGAAGTAGCACACGTGCTTGAGACCACTCCTGTTCCTGGGGTGGCCCTTCTGCTGTTAGTCTCCAGTCATTTGTTGTGAGTAATGTATAGGAGCCTAAAGGAATCCAAACTAACCAGTACAGCCCCCATACCGGAATGAAAGCGTGGTTCACATTACTGATAAGTTTTAATCACCTGTAACGAACGAGGAGATCTTTTCCAATTTATCCCCATGTCTGCAGTTCAATAGAATGTTGCGCTCTCTATACTGTGCATTCACTTTCTGTTCTGCTTACCTTCAGATCCAGTAATCCCTGGTCTCCAGTAATCTTGCGTCCAGATTCCAGTAATCTAATCTCTGAAATGACGGAGGTCATCCGTCCTCCAACTGTAACGATCAATCAAGAGGGGGAGATCCCCATGCGAGAGTCGCCTGATGGCTCTCCTCAATTTGGCAGAGACAAGGCCGTCCTCCGCAACAGTTCGGTCGACGTCTTCCGTACATGTGCCGATCCTGGTGAGTAGTACATGCACACAGACAGACATAGTGATTGCCAATTCTCTTTGCACTGAGACCTCGTTGACGTCCTCTCCGTCTCCGCATGTACTGTACTTTCGAGGAAGAAATCTTACATTTCTTAGCTAACGCAATTTGTCAAGAAGAAGTTAGGAGTGCCTGTCCCACATTACAAAACAATGCCCAAGAAAGTCACAGCTTATAAACCATGAACGTTTTCTTCCTTTGAACGTTTAGCATTATTTCGAAAAGCATGGCATAAAAAGTTCCCTCAGAAAAGCCCGTGTGTTATTATATATGTGTCACTCTCCTACTGACAGGAAGGAAGTGTTCTCTCAAGGCACTGGAGATACCAATGGAACATCTCCTCAGTGGAATAATTATCCTCCCAGGTATGTATACATACCGTACACACATACGTATACCGAAGTATGGAGATTGTGTGTGATTGGTGAAGAGGAGAAACGCTGTGCACCGAATGCACCTAGTCTTCTGAAATGTGTTTTTTCCCCATGTAATGACCGACTCCGTGCTATGTCAGTGCACATGTGTGAACGACGTGTACAGTGGTTCATAGGTTGCTTCGCTCGCCAAAAATGCATTGCGCATTCGTTCTACATTATTGTGGCATTAGCTGCAGATTGAGCCACTCGATTGTACAGTGAGCGTGGAGCCACTGAGTTGACACGTTGTATGGTGCCATTCTGTGAGGACTCCTCTATAGTGTAAAACATAGTGTGGCATCACTCCTGGTTCCCAGAAGTGACATACGTATTGACGTGTGCCACTTGCGGGCCCACCACTTGGGTGACGGTGTGGCTTTATCCCGCTATTACTGTTGAATAGACTTGATCTGTGTTTGTATTGGATTGCACCATTGATGGTGTGTGTGTTGTGGTGTGGTCACAGGTGGTAGAAATCACGATGGCTGTCCGGTCCTGAAGCTGACTCAGCCCAACAGCGTCAATGAAGGAATGCTGAAGGACATCACTGAGGAGGGAGTCATAGAAATGCTCATCTACTTCACCAGTGTACCCAGGTATGTGTGTACATACATCTGAAATATAGGGACTGGGGTTCATGTGTACATCTGTATCAGGACTGGGGTTCGTGTGTATGTCTGTATCGGGACTGGGGTTCGTGTGTATGTCTGTATCGGGACTGGGGTTCGTGTGTATGTCTGTATCGGGACTGGGGTTCGTGTGTATGTCTGTATCAGGACTGGGGTTCGTGTGTATGTCTGTATCAGGACTGGGGTTCGTGTGTATGTCTGTATCAGGACTGGGGTTCATGTGTACGTCTGTATCAGGACTGGGGTTCGTGTGTATGTCTGTATCAGGACTGGGGTTCGTGTGTACGTCTGTATCAGGACTGGGGTTTGTGTGTATGTCTGTATCAGGACTGGGGTTTGTGTGTATGTCTGTATCAGGACTGGGGTTTGTGTGTACGTCTGTATCAGGACTGGGGTTTGTGTGTACGTCTGTATCAGGACTGGGGTTCGTGTACGTCTGTATCAGGACTGGGGTTCATGTGTATGTCTGTATCAGGACTGGGGTTTGTGTGTACGTCTGTATCAGGACTGGGGTTTGTGTGTACGTCTGTATCAGGACTGGGGTTTGTGTGTATGTCTGTATCAGGACTGGGGTTTGTGTGTATGTCTGTATCAGGACTGGGGTTTGTGTTGTACGTCTGTATCAGGACTGGGGTTTGTGTTACTCTGTATCAGGACTGGGTCGTGTACGTCTGTATCAGGACTGGGGTTCATGTGTAATGTCTGTATCAGGACTGGGGGTTTGTGTGTACGTCTGTATCAGGACTGGGGTTTTGTGTGTACGTCTGTATCAGGACTGGGGTTCATGTGTATGTCTGTATCAGGACTGGGGTTTGTGTGTACGTCTGTATCAGGACTGGGGTTTGTGTGTACGTCTGTATCAGGACTGGGGTTCGTGTACGTCTGTATCAGGACTGGGGTTCATGTGTATGTCTGTATCAGGACTGGGGTTTGTGTGTACGTCTGTATCAGGACTGGGGTTTGTGTGTACGTCTGTATCAGGACTGGGGTTCATGTGTATGTCTGTATCAGGACTGGGGTTTGTGTGTACGTCTGTATCAGGACTGGGGTTTGTGTGTACGTCTGTATCAGGACTGGGGTTCGTGTACGTCTGTATCAGGACTGGGGTTCATGTGTACAGGTAGTATGTACGCCTGCATCAGGACTGGGGTTCGTGTGTACGTCTGTATCAGGACTGGGGTTCATGTGTATGTCTGTATCAGGACTGGGGTTCATGTGTACGTCTGTATCAGGACTGGGGTTCGTGTATGTCTGTATCAGGACTGGGGTTTGTGTGTACGTCTGTATCAGGACTGGGGTTTGTGTGTACGTCTGTATCAGGACTGGGGTTCATGTGTACGTCTGTATCAGGACTGGGGTTCATGTGTACGTCTGTATCAGGACTGGGGTTCGTGTGTATGTCTGTATCAGGACTGGGGTTTGTGTGTACGTCTGTATCAGGACTGGGGTTTGTGTGTACGCCTGTATCAGGACTGGGGTTTGTGTGTACGTCTGTATCAGGACTGGGGTTTGTGTGTACGCCTGCATCAGGACTGGGGTTCGTGTGTACGTCTGTATCAGGACTGGGGTTCATGTGTATGTCTGTATCAGGACTGGGGTTTGTGTGTACGTCTGTATCAGGACTGGGGTTCGTGTGTACGTCTGTATCAGGACTGGGGTTCGTGTGTATGTCTGTATCAGGACTGGGGTTCGTGTGTACGTCTGTATCAGGACTGGGGTTTATGATATTATAGCCACCTTTCAAAACTCACTCACGCACACCTACATACATATCTTGAGATCTGACGAGGTTTTAGTGCAGACGATGACAAAACATAACCCCTTGGCTTTGCGCGCATGCATGCGCGGGGAAAATACATACAATATAGGGATAATTGTACCTATTAAACAAACACTCTTTATTTTATTGCTCCGATACCTGTGATTGGTGCAGGGAGGAGGCCCGAGCCAACGGTTTCTGTGTCATCATGGATGGGAACGTGATGGCCGACTTCATGCAGGTCACCATCATTAGGGCACTCAACCAGTTCCAGGTAATGTATATACACAGTATAGCTGAAAGGTGTGTGGATGGAGTCGGTATCTACATGTAGTTACCTCATGACTCTTCTCACCTGCCTCTTTTGTCCTTGCTCTCTTCTTCTCCCTTTTTTCTTTCCCTCTTTTCCTCCTCCTCCTTTTCCCCCTTCTCCCTCCTTCGGTTCCTTACTTTTTCCTCTCCTTTTTCTTCCCATGTCTCTCTCTCTCTCTCTCTCTCTCGATCTCTCTCTCTCCCGCCCCTTTTCTCTTCTCTGCCTCTTTCTTCTCTTTCTATTCCCTCCGTTTGTCCCCCCTTCTCTTGCTTTGTAATACCTATATACTTTCTCTTCTTCATTGTACCTCCTCTCCATCTCTCCCCTCTCCCCCTCCTCCCCTCTCCTCTCTCCTCCGCCTCCTCCTCTCCCCTCTCCCCCTCCTCCTCTCCCCTCCGCCCTCCTCCTCTCCTCCCCCTCCAGCATGACATGAGCTACGTCAAAACCTTCCTCTACGTCTCATCATCTCCCATGCCAGACTGGGACACTCTCTGTGGGAGCACCATCGACCTACCAGTCAGTCATACTCGATACTGTTGCTGGAAACCTTTGAGCGATAAAATCAGTAACATAAAGAATGTCACAGAGACACGTAAAATCAACTGGGAAAGCTTTTTCAAATCATTCCAGATCTGCCAACTTTCCGCCATTAATAATGAAAAGCACTTGAAAGTGCATAACCCTCGCCACTTTATTCTTTATTCAGCCAATGGCTACTAGCTACACTACTTCAGTTTTTGCCACATGCGTAGTTACTACTACAGCAAAGTGAAAAGCACTGGTCTTGACAACCCTCACCACTATTCAGCTACATAGCTACGCTACCTCAGTGGCTCCTTCACTGAACGGATTCACTGGGGCGTGTGCTGCTCTAACTTCACCGGCAATCAACTGTACCATCAATACAGCCAGACCAGCAAATCTTCTCCACACACGCAAAGAATCTAGCATCTAAGCATTATACAACGATGGTTCGCGATCTCTATTTGACGCACACCCACCTCGGCAGCCGTCCGTTTCACCAGCTTCCCCCAGGCTTCTCCGCTCCAGAATCTTATTTTACCATGCATTCCTCCTAGTTGAAAATATGTCCACGTTTCACGCTCAGAGTTGCCGCGGTTACCGAGAAAAACGGAGGACAGACGGACGGACGGACGGACGGACACACGCACACACACACACACACAGACAGACCGACTGCAATAACCCTCGCTGCGCATGCGCGCAGGCGAGGGTTAATAATATAGTTAGACAGCGAGCCCTGCGCTCGGAATGCCACAACGCAACGGCTTCTAACTTGCAACGGACGAAGTTATATAGTATGCATTCCAATTGATGCACACTTGTTTTTACACGTGAGAGGGTTGCGTGGGGCGGAACCGGTGCCTATGTAACTCCCAGTGGCTCACATAACATAAGGGATCTGCATTGTGTATGTATCACCAACTGAGCTGTTTTTGTTATTCACACCTCTCAAATTGAAAATAAACTGTCATTACTCAAGAATGCCACTCGTCATGAAAGGAATGACAGGCTGTATACATCTTTATATCATTCAAACTGTCCATTCGCGCAAACAAACACATTCGTGGCATGCGGATGTCAGGTATTTACCGATCGTACAGTTAAAACTGTCTTTTCCTTTTCCTTGCGTTCACAGTTGACACATGTGTCAGACCATGATGGGCTGCTGGAGCATGCAGACCGCAGTCAGCTAATGCCTGACCTCGGCGGATACCTGGAGTACGAACACGAGGACTGGGTCCGTTTCAGAATGGTGAGCCAGCTCTCTATCTTTCTTTCTGCCTGCCCCCCTCTCTGCCTCTCTCTCTCTTTCACTTTATCTGTCTGTCTGTCTGTCTGTCTGATCTGTTAGTCTGTCCCTGTGTCTGCCCGTCTCTGTATCTACCGCATCTTCCCTTTATCTGCTTCTAGCTCCTTTCTCTTCTCTGTTATATACTACCACCACCTACTACAGTAGTGTATCCTTCATGAAATCCAGTGTCTGCGGCTTTGTGTATGATTTTCATGGTGGCACCCCTTGCTTTTAGGCATTATTATGGATTGGCTATGTAGCACGGCCTATTCAGCTTACTCATAATATCTGACTTAACTGCTATATATCTCAGCTATACACAAGGCTGACTGCTGTTTGAATGCCCTTTTTTGTCACACGGTGTGTGCTCAGTCACACCACACCTGCCTCCTTCAGTACTCCATAGTCGTGACATAATTACGTATTATTATGGTGGCCTTTTGACTGCTGGCATGTGAGTATTCACATGCTGTTTGTCGCATTCCAAACAAACCAGTGATTATGGGGGCTGCTGTTTGAGGGAGGTTAAGGTGGAGCTCGCAATCTACTCCAGCTGACCCTTTTATAGTACAACTAGTGAAACTGTCTTGATGTGTGTACGTCTCATAAGGCAAGTCAAAGAGAGCCGCTAGCTTCATAGTGGAATGCCGATATATATACATAGCTATAGCCTTGTGACACCCGTGCATCATAATGAAAGTGGTAGAGTACAGTCATGTGGTATAATTATATGGAAACAGCTCCATGTAAAGTATGTACGCATGTAAAGGTTTATGGGGAGTAGGTATATACCGTACATAGTAGAGGAGGAGTATATGAGGGATGGAGGGAGGGGGAAATCTCGGGGGATTGCCCTACTTTCTGCCCACTGGCTTGCCTACTGAGGATTTGTCTGTCACATGCACTCCTCCCAAGCTGAGCTTGGCACTATTATGCCTGCCAGATATGTAAAATCCAACGTGTTATTATGACCCTGAAGAAGTGTGTACTGATACACAAGCTAGAAGATTATGCCAACTTTACCCTGTCCACGTGTGATGTAATGATGATGTCGTTACATTTCCCAGTCGGAAGCAAATTACATAATTGCTGCTTGTGCATAATAGCGCCCGTACCACATGTTTGCATTTACACTAATGTGTACATGTTGCGTCTGGTAGTGTATAGCAACACAGCTGCATTGCTTCCTCCCTTTACTTCCCCTACAGGCCATAACATACAATACCCTGTCAATATGCATGTATAGACCCTGTAACTGGTCAAATATCTACATACAGCATCAGTGTGCCATAACTATTATAATAGGGAGAGGGGAAGAAGCCTGAATGGTGCACATGACTAACATGTGCCGGATTCCTTCCCCTTTGAAGATGGCAGGAAGGCACATGTGTGTGTGTGTGCTCTGCATGTACAGCGAGGGAGCACAGAATGTCTATTGTGTAGTGTGTACTGGAGTATGTGGACCCACTGGTATTTATGGTCCAAGGTTTCAAAAGATGCACCCATTTCTCTGTGAATGTTGTTTGGTCAACAAGGAATCGAGGAATGCTCATTAGGATAAGCAAACTGGAAGCTGGGGGAAGATGAAGAGATTGTGTATCCGACTTCCTTGGACTTGCTACTAGCTGACTTGTTTGTTCAGAGGACAACTGTAAACAGACAACTGGGTCTTACTTACTCCTAGGGTTCTCAGTAGAGGATGTCGCTGTTCCTTTGGACTGGGGTCAGGGTTGTGCAGTATGTGGTGGGTGCAGTGTTACATATACACATCTGTGTGATCCTAGGTCTGTGTATACGGTACATGCCCACACAAACAGTCAGCCAGTCAGACTGACTTGCAGGCTGGCTCAATGGAACAGAGTGTGTGTCAGGTCATGGGTTACTATACATTACTAGAGGCTTTGAAATGCCACAAGTGGTAAGGTAAACAGCAAAACGGAGTTGACTTTTGCTCTGAGAAAGTTTAGCTTGTCTGTGAGCAAACCAAGGTCATGCAAGGGTGTTGCTCAGGGTGTTTGGATATGTCCTTGGGTTACTAAAGCACTAGGGGTTAACGCAACAACTTCGAACCTGCCACGTGTGTGTGTGTGCGCACGAAGCAAAACCTACGACTTTGCTTGTCTGTGAGCTAACTTCAACTCACCGGACCAGGAGAGCCTCGGTCGTGAATTGCGCACCATCTGGAAGTTCCTACGTGTGTGGGGAAGAACCATCTACATCTGCTGTCAAGAAGAAGGTGAGGTTGCGTTGCTCTAATGATGCCACATTGACCGGACTTTACAGCTTCTTTGTGGTTGCTTAAAGTATTTACTTTCTTCATATGCAAACACGCGCCATGTGCCAACATGCATCATGTGTGCACGCGCAAGTCCTGTGAAGGTGCAGCTCGAGGGGACTGACTAGTCCCCGCGGAATTTGGCTGAGGTTTCAGTCAAAGCCTGAACGACGGCCCATTGTGAGAGGCCAGACTAACAATGATGTGGCTGCAGCTCCTTCGTTCACTGGCCCATACGGTCTCCAAGAAAGCAGCCATTTGAGATCTATTCTTTGCCTAATCTGCTTCGGTTCCCTTCCCTTCCTTCCTCTGCCCTGCTCTCCACCAGATAAAAATAGAACACCGCGTAAGATGAGTGTTTCTTAGTAGCTTCCTTCCTTCAACAAGGTTCTTAGGGGTGTTGGGTTTTCTGCCATCCTCTCCCTCTCCCTACTCACTTCAACAATTTGACTCATTTCTCCGTCCAGTTAGATACAACCTTTCTTTCCTTCTCTCCCCGTCCCTGACTACAGAGACGCCAAATATATATATATTTTTTCCACTCACTCACCTCTCCATGCCACCAAGTAGATCGAGCCATTTCTATTATGACACTGCCCCCCTCATTTCCACTCACTGTTTCCTATGTATGTACCTCTTTCCTCTTTAGCAATTAAGTATATACAGCCCTTTTCTCATATGACACTCCCTCTTTCTTCTCTCCATTTTTACTCACCGTCGTTCTCCATTTCCCCTCTCCAGCAAGTAGAGCCTTTCCTCTGCGACTGTGTGAGCATCTCGAAGCTTCTTGCGCAGGCCATAGCCCCGTTCACCAAGGACATGGAGACCCCCACGAACCTGGAGGAGACAAAGGAGGTGCTCAAGAAGCACCAGCTCAAGAAACGGAGGACCATAGACCAGCTGCAGATCGATGAGCTCACCAGCCAGGGCCTCAAAATCAACAAACTCATCAAGCAAGAATCCGAAGAAAGGTACACATTGTGCCATTGTGTTGGTCCGTTGCGTAGAGTGCAAACACTCTGCGAACTTAACTAGAAACATCCAACCCTTACCCGTGCGGTACCACTAATTGATGTGCTGGGCTGGGCTATGTGTTAGCTTGTGCCACAGTCTCCTGCTAGTAGCTCGCGGAGAGTCTTACCCAGGCTAGCAGTGCTAACCCTCTGCCTACTTAACTAGAAACGTCCAACCCTTACCCGTACGGTACCACTATTTGATGGGCTGGGCTATGTGTTAGCTTGTGCCACAGTCTCCTGCTAGTAGCTCGTGGAGAGTCTGACACAGGCTAGCTACACTAGTAGATGCACCCCCCCCCCTTGTTAGGTGTATGAATAACCCCTTTTTTGCATTTTCAGCACGGATGGCCTATGTGTGTATTATGTGGAGAGGGAGGTATAGAGAGAGAGAGAGAGAGAGAGCGGTGTCTGTGTGTGCATTTGGTGTGGCGCAGCCTTGTCCAAATCAAATTGTCCACGCACGACTTCATAAGCTTTAACCTGCTTTGAACACAGCTGAGTACTTAACAAAGTACATACGTACATATTCCACGTCACCATACATTTGTCCATAATATAATAGTGCCTGCAAGTGGAATACTGTGTGTGTGTGTGTGTTTTTCCAGTGGCTGGGTTTTTGTTGTCTGTCAGTCTCTGCTGTGTGTCTGAGGTGGGGCTCATTGTCAAAGTGTTGGTCTAAGGCGTGAGCCGTGGATGTGACTGTGTCTGTGTGTGTATATGTCTCTCTATGTGTGTTAGGTGGGAAAGCTTTAACGTGCAGTATCTATGTTCACCATGCAAGAGAGTGAGTATAATTATTATACATGGTGTGGCAATTTAATGAGGAGGATTGCTCTTTGCATTTGGATAAACAGTGCATGATTGTCACATGAGCATCACATGACTTCACGTTCCTCTCCCTACAGACGCAGCAGTATCCAGTTCAACCCAGAGTTCCTGAGCACCATAGCGACGGTCGGCAAGCTCATCTCCAACATGGAGGCAGTGAAGGAGAGGGTGGAGGGAATGTGGCACACCCGAGGCGAGAAACTTGAGGCGACGTACAAACAGCAGACGTTTGAGAAGGAGGCAAACCAGGTCAGAGCAAAACTTACTGCCTTTCATCCTTCTAAGAGCCACATGCACACTGGTATACTCCATGCGAGCGAAACGTTAACTTCTGGGTCTGCAGCGCATGCCCAGCGTGGCTCACAAAGCAACCAGGGGGCGTGTCTAACTGTATTTTAACCTTGAGTAGCGTGCCGTAAATAGAGAGGCTCCTGGCAAAACGACTGCTCTCAGGGGTAATCGTTGGCTGTAGACATTATAATAATAGAGAATAACTCTGCTGTCTAACACCGAAATCAATTACATTATCACTGCTGCGCATACTCACCACGGGTAATAAGTTCGTAATGCCCAATTCAGTCTAATTAGTAGATTCACTTTACTACCAATTAACTGAGAGAGGCCTGCATACAGTACAATGGAAGCTGTGAAGTAAATCAGTCGGCAATATTTACTGCGCATTTGCACACTTCAAAGTATCGGAAGTTCGGTTCCTAGAAAATCCACCACATCAGCAAGATTCCTTGAATTCTCACTACTCTAAAACATACCGATATTCCTTGCCGTATGTGTAACAAAACTCTTCCTTTTTCCTGTGAGGTGTTATTGTTCGGACGTCAGAGTAGAGTACACGAAATAAGAGGCACCGCAGGAAGTCTGCCTAGTGTCCAGCCATATCGTAGTGCCAGGGCATCGTGGAACGCTCCTTTGTCCAGGGCAAAGCCGTGCTCTGAAAGTGGCAGGACAGTGAGCCACAACATCAAAGGTGTCCGCGTAGCCCACTTTACTTCCTGTGTGCACCTTACTTCCTACATTGATTTCTCTATGGTACAAGAGAGTGGATGTTTATGCCCGTAACAGTACACTCCTCATTCACTGCGCATAATGGCAGAAAAACGAAATATCAAGCAAACTGTCCATGAACGAGCAGTTTCAATTATACCTACTTTCAGGCACTGCTCGGTTTAATGGCTAACATGCACAGCACAGCTCTCTATTGTGTGGAGCAAAGGTCTGCTGCAACTTAAGTATGGGTATGATGCTCTATCCAACATGTTGCACGAAAATAGAAGTATTGACTATTGCACCCAGCATGTCACATAGACCCATTAGACCCATACACTTTGAAGGAGACTATGTTGGCTTGTGCGTGATACCTATCTGTTGCTGAAAATCTTTAAATCGACGAGAAAGTGCCACCTCATTTCCTGACATCAGAGGCGGTATTGAAGAGCCGGGCAGCGTCCGGTATTTCAAGGGGTTCTGTATACTATGCCCATTAGACTGAGGGCCCGATCCATTATGGCAGTGACGTGCGTATCCTGCTGGATTAGTAATCACTGCTGAGGACTCTGAGTCTCTTACTTGCATCAGGAGCCGACTTAGCGGGCTCGATATGCCCCTGCTTGCACACGTATGCAGCATTCGTTCATGAGCTACTAGCATTCTAGGATAGTTACGTAGCTAACAGGGGTTTGTTTTAGCATAGCAGTTTAGTTTAGCATCTGTGTGTATATACACTATGCAGTTTTGCGGACACTTTTTATGGAAGGTTCCGAACTCCACATTATTTTGGTGTCGGTTCTGAGTTACGCTTTGTGGTGTCACTGTATACTGAAACACGTTCTGAATGCCCGTAGTTCTTCCTTTTTCCTGTTGCCACAATATGTACGTACATAATACGACGTCGAATCCCAGATGGTGTTCAGAATTTACCAACAGTGAGAAACACACCAAAAACAGAGGCTCGACAAAGTCACCCCATTTTCAGAATGTGTGCCTGGGAAGATGAGGGTTACTGCCTACCCAAGCAAAGTGAACCACTTATTGCCATAATCACTGGACAATAAGAGTCAGTATAACACATTTATACAGCTGCTAATGTGCGTCCATTAATGCACTTGATTTGCACAGGCGTGCATTCGGAACAGTGTGCATCACGATATGTGCGCTCCCAAGTATGTAGCTCAGTACCATGTGGCCATTATGTGGAGTCCAGCTGTAGTAGTATGCGATCGTTACAGACTAGCCAACACACCTGGAGTATGCAAGGCGGTGCAGTGAATACGATTGACGTGCGGGAGTGAGCAGTTGGAGTATCATTTAGTCACAAGCGATTGCCCCCGGCACCAGAAATAAGACGTCGTCGTGGAGACGCCTCTTTTTCTCGTTAGCGCATGACGGGCATAGTTTTCCCGGGCGCTGATTGAGGACCTCTCGTGAATTTCCTTCATTTTCTTTTAACAGTGTACGCGGGATTGCTTTCAAAAATGTCCTGTTGTTTTAGCCAGGAATGCTTGGATCATGATTTCCGTGTCCTCAGATTGGTTTCACGCGTCCCAACCTAACTCCCTGTTACACAATACTGGTCTGCAGTAGAAGGGTGCTGATGTACATTACTGCCCCCAAGCAGGAGAGGAGGTACATATATTTCCCCCAAGCAGGAGGGGACGCACATATATTACCCCCAAGCAGGAGGGGACGCACATATATTACCCCCAAGCAGGAGGGGACGTATATTGTCCGCAGGCAGGAGGGGACGTATAAAGAAGGAGGGGTTACTAATGTGTATTGTCTACAGCCAGGGGGGGATTTGTTGTATTTAGATTTTCAAAAGAGTGAGTGTCTGCCAACGCTGGGATGGACTTCGCAGAGCCTTGGGAGGGTGGGACCGGAGTTCCGCGTTTGTGCATACTTTCCGAGGGACGTGTCATTGAACACTTGTGAATATTCCCCACACCAAAACACACATAGACTCGCATGAATAGACGGAAGTTGAATCTGTTTGGCGTGTGCCTCGGTGGTTGCGTCTAGCTGCTCCGTTTATGGCACGCTGACCGGGCGGTCAGAGTTTTTGAACGCCGGGAGAGGACGGGTGTCAATTTGGACAGTGGTTGAAAGGACGACGCTGGGAATATGAAAGGTGACTATGTCAACGCAGGACGTGGAAATGCAAACACAGGACAGTGTTTTTGGTACACAGGTATAAGACGATAACACAGTGGTTTCTGCAGGTGTAAACAAACACACGCTTACACCTCAAATAATGAGGCGGTTGTTGTTGCTCGTTTGTTGTCTGCCTTTACTTCCTTCTTCCTTGCTTCTAACAAACATAACAACAAACACGGGATTGTGGGTTTTAAGTTTCAATTTATCAGAAGAGAAAGGGACTCTCTGGTCCAGTATAGTTGGGACAGCAGTAGAGTCAGGGGAGTTGTTTTGATCTCTCACATCACCCGAGGCACTCGTGAATTCTCTGAACTAACCACTGGACCAGTGAGTAGAGTGTGTATTGTGTCTTGGGATCCACTGAGGATGGATCCTTTGCCAAACAGACGGAGCTTATGAATATTATTTTCCAGCCAAGCAGAGCTAACGAGTAGTGAAAGTTAACTTGAGCGTGTGAGTGAGTGGTTAGCATGCTTTGTGTGTGAGGAAAAGCCGGGAAAGGTTCACCTCTTGGTGCACATGATTTAACTCACATGTGTACAATATGCTGTGCCCTGGGCTTGCTCATTATAGTTCTGACGTAGAACACAGGATTCACGAAATAGTTTGGAGAGGAAGAAGTAACTATCAGATAATACGATATCCAACCACCTTGCTCCGAAGAAACGCCAGAAATGATTATTTACCTTCCGTTTGTGGAGGGTCTGAAATTCTTACCATTCTGTTACTCTAGGGCTTAATTATACCCAGCAACGCCTCTTCATTCAGCGAATGTTGAATGTGAAGAGAGGGAATTCCAAGATAGTGTTCAATTTCTCAAAAACCTGGAAAAACTAATGTCGAGTGTTTGTTTTGCGTCACTAGTTTGCTTTCGAGAAGTGTCCACACCAGCTTCACCCATAATATTTGAAAGAGGAGTAAAACGTTATTGTTCCAATTGAAAGCACCAGTGAACAATATTGTTGTGACAAAACTGTCAACACATGCGCTCGCAGAGACACCCTTCCATTGCTATGCATATGCAAACTGCAGTGTATTGATTACATTAAGTGTACATACCTTATTGAAACCCCCTTAGTACAGAGCATTCATACTCTAACGGCCTGTTACTAATGTACGTGTTGTTTAGAGCATACCTCCTTGCTACTGTCCATTGCACACTGATGATATAAGGAGACTTAATTACTTCATTCTTAGCATTCCAAGGTTTCTCAGGGCAGGCTCTCTCTTACTTCAGGGAAGCAACTTAGGGATCTCCCAAATACCATTGAAATGGGATTATCGGAATTAGATACACAAAAGATGAATCATACTTCCTTGAATCCCCAAATTAGCGTGAAAGGCTTGCATGCCTGACTGAGCACATTGTGCTTACGTATTTATAAACATGAATCAGCTAGTTTCTAAGAGCTCTATATAGTACATACATACCCTGTTGTATCTGAAGTTGGTAGAAGATGCTGTGAAAGAAGCCACCTACTCACCAATGAGCTAATTTCTGTGGGATGCTCTATTGCTAACGGGAGAAGAAAGTGGTCAATTGATGTCCCTCTTTCCCTGTAACCTCTCCTTCCCTTCTTCCTTCCCCTTTGTCTTCTGGATGACATAATCAAGAGTATCTGGTTACAACCCCCACTCGTTTCTCATACACTCCCATGTACTCCTCTGCATAGCTTTGTTCTCCTGCAATTGTGTAGCAATGGACATTTGGTGGTGGTGGTATACTTTTCCACGAACTACGTAGACTCTTAGAAGTAACGACCACATCCTATCACACAATCATGGGAGCATGTGTGCTTTGGTGTATATACTATGGACGTATAAGTGTTAACATGACATCCCTGTGCATGCTTATATGTGCATTAACAACACTGGTGCAGCTGATGTAAGTCGTCTTTCACTGTTTGCTGCCCCCATAATTACGACCCTTTTAGAAAAGTGTGAGAGCGTTTGTCGCTTGCACTTTCATCTCATAGTGCCTTTGCTTCCTTCTCTTTCTCTTTTCATCTCTCCGCTTGCTGAGGTTGCCTAAATAATGTGATTGCGTCCGTAAATCTCTGTACCAAATCTATAATTACGAAGAACCATTACCGTCTCATCTTTCTCTTTTCATCTCTCGTCTCTTTGCCTGCTGACCTGTGTTCTTGGAATGCCCTGTAGTTCCTTGCACTAAATGAGTGTGTTAGTTTCCCTCTTTTCGTCTCTCTGTTGCTGAGGTTGCCAGGGTCGTCTTGGAATGTCGGAACTCTCTACACTGAGCAGTGTGTTTACTGTCCAGTGCTGGCTTCCCCACACCGCCTTCTTTCATCTCTCTCTTTGCTGAAGTAGTCCCCTTGACCTCCGAGAATTGAATCCTTACAGCTCCACTTAGTGTTGTGCCCCATTCTGTATGAACCAATGGCAGTGAAAGAGATGGGCAGTTCCCCGTCTTGCCCCAACAGTTCCACTCTCACAGGCTTTTCTTCAGAGTAGTGTTGTTGTGTGTGTGTGTGGGTGTAGCCGCTTCATGTCATTGTCCACATTCTCTTTCTTCTTTTCTAGTCTCTTTGCTAGCACATTTTGCACGTACATTGCCATGCATTCACATACAATATACCATACACTATGTACTACGTAGGTACATACTAACTAGACCAATATACCTAAGTATGTATTCCATAAGGTATATACATACACGGGATTTGCACAGTTTTGAACATAGCATGTAGAGTATAATATTAGAGTGTGGGGACAATGCGAACATTTGGGACCTGTCTGTGTGCATTCATAATGTGATCTGCTCCCTTTGTGCATGTGTGTGTGTGTGGATGCCTCCACTGCCAAATGGCGGGTAGAAATAGTAAGAAATCTGAGTCAAAGGGATCAAAGGCACCCTCAGTGTTTCTTGTCAGTTATCGTTGCTACCTTCCCACGTGTCACTAGCTGGTGAAATGTACTGAGTATAGGCTGCAATTAGCATTACATCATTACATCACTACCTACATCATGTGACTCTAGTACTATAAATAGCTGCTGAATGTATGGTCCTGGGATCAGCAAAACAACAAGCACTGACTACTTACAAAGCATTACCTTACCACCTCAGTTCCTGCAACTGATGAAGACCGAATCTCCCAACTCAATTTCTTCGATCCCCTAACATACACAAGGGCAATATTTTAGCGCAGCCATAGGCCTACTAATCAAAGAGAATTAAGTTGCGTGGAGTGTCGATATGTGTGTTGTTAAAATGCAGAGGGGGTAGGTTGTTATAGATATACAGCTTTCTTGTGCTGTTTATACAAACACGGCAGTGTTGCATTTCCCATTACCAGTAGCCCATTTCATACAAGTATGTCACCAAGTATGCTGTGCGTTAGTTACATACCCAGCTTCAGGTGCAGTTTTAGATTACGGCATTGGAACCGTTCAAGTATCGCGATTACTTGCGGGATAATCCCCGAAACTATCACTCAAGGAGGGGCAACTTTGGTGGAATTACACAGACAGTCACGCTACTTAATTCCCTATGTATGTAATGTTCCCCAACTTTGTAGCTATATTCAAAATAAACTGAATCCTATAAATGACTCCCTCACTATAGGGGCTCCACTATGATGAAAGTAAGACTTTCCTAATGTTTACAAAGTATGTGAAAGTGTGTGTTTCCCTCCGATAAGACGGTTTCCCTGAGGATACCAGTTGCTTACTCAGAGGCAGATTTGTGTGTTGAAATCTTGTCTTTGGATGCTCTCTTGGTGACATATTGGCACACGTGAACATATACTACCACGGGGGAGTCATCCCTAGAGAACATGTCTAGAGCTACTCACTGGTTACTACCAAATGGGCTCCCTATAGCACCCCTACTACTATAGGCACTTTCATAACATGTCCCCGTATCCTATTCAAGTTCAGGCATGGGTTGGGCAGGGATATAATACCGCACTTACATTACTCATTTGCCCATATCTTACTCAGGGATGCATGGGTTTGGGGGATACAAATGTACTTGCATGGCACCTCAGAGTCCCATCTCACACCTTGAATATAACCGCATTCAGAGGCTGCCTTAACATTTTATCACAAAGACAAGAACTATTGATGCGTGCTATTGCACTGATAAAGCCTGTGAGGTGAGCTAGGTCATTGTGCATACACATCTACCACCTGAGTCTAGGATGACCTGACTGAGTCTAGGATGATCAGAATGATATAAGGCTTTGTGACTTACAATAGTCATGTGCAACTTGGAGGTGAATGAGTTACTTTTTTGCCACTGTCTTCACCTCACTACTGCAGTTATCTTGCTAGAGTAAGAACTGAGATGGGGAAATGTGTAGTAGTGTAGAAATGGTTGAAGGTGCCCTGTTTGTCGGAGATGCTGCCTAATGAAAGGAATCTGGCTACAAGAGGGTTTCGTGCCTCACACGTGTCAAGATATGGTCTCTTCCTGTGCTAGTGTGTCTCTTGAATGTGGGGCACAGATTGGAAGAAGACAGCAGAAACTCTCTAACGTATTAAGGGCAGGAAAACTGCCCTGGTTACTATGGCGAGGTGTCATGTGCTCCATGTGGTATGAGTAAGGCAAACCCACAAGGGTTTGGATCAGTTGGACAACTGTCTTCCATGTGGGTGGACACATTATGAAGCCACTCCACTATACATATAGCACTCCCTCCCCCAAAGCCCCAAAGAACAGTTCTTCCACCAGAAACTCTGTAACTGCAGCAAGAAGTGCCCACTATGTCATAAGCCTAAACCAAAAGACCAAATTGATTAAGTTGCTGTGTGTAAAACGTTCCCCCATGCCCGGCTCTATTTTTACTGTACCCACACTTCCCGTTTATTATAACCAGTCATGCCTTCTAACCTGTGACTCCAGTCCTTTGTGTATGTATATACACACGTGCAGTGTGTACTTATGCTTGGACCTAGGATGTAGTCAGGATGTACAGAAGCACGAGTGCCACGTTTTTGCAGACACGGACAAGAATAGTATCTCCTGGCAATGTCATGACAATGCCTGGTGCTAGCGTGCGTATACACCACTGCGCCGAGTGTTTATGATGATGGGCTCCTCTTCACAGAGACCAAGCAACAAACCTTGTTGTTGTGGTTTGAAGTCGAATGCCCCTAGGCCATGCAGGAGTTAGACGAGGACGCGTCACGGTACAGCGCATTAACCCCAGCCGAGAGTGAATAGTAACTGTGAATAACACTGCACCAGCAGGTGCTCCTGTGCGCGTGCAAGTCCGCGGGTGTGTTTGTGCAACCAAAAGACGACACATTACACAACAAAAGCTCCCGTGCCACCTCGAGCTCCACCCTTGACCATTAGGAGCTGTTGTCTCTGACACCGCACTGTACTGTCTCAGAACCTTCCGATTTCAAAAGCACCGTGAGTTTCTGACAGTAAACAGCCTTACGTAAGTCACTGCTTTGTCTGGCAGTTTGTTTTTAAGGCACGAAAATCATGCCCAACCTCTGAGGTCCACACTTAAGTCCATGTGATGGCATCAGAGGAATGCACAAAAGTTTGGAAAATGGGTAGATGGATAAAGGTCTTTGAACCTGCTCTTGAGTAAACACCATCTACGTGACATGAGCAGCACAATCGCTGGAAAATATGCGTGCACTTTGTCTTTTGTCAACACAGACACCCGCCGCTTGCTTTCAGTTTCCGTAGCGACACAAGCAAGTGTCTGCTTTGTGACCAGCTGTTCCATCATGCCCCCTCTTCCTTGAAAGATTTGATGTGCTGCCCATGGAGACAGCACCTCCCCATTCTGGTTACATGGCAAGGTTGAGCATAGTGTGTATTCGAGACATCTCACAGCCAACACGCATCAAACCTATATTTCCAGCTGTTGCAGTGCTGTAAAGGTGCTAATTATCGTAACACATCATTCGTTCAGAATGCAAAAATTGCTGCCCATATGTCTGAGACAGGCAGTTCCTCCCCTCCTGCTTGTGTGACAAGAATTTGCAATTAGTTTGTACATTCCAAAGCGTTGGAACAAAAATGATAGTACTGCCTACACTCTGTATGTCTGATCTCATGGGTTGCTAGGTAGCGACTGAGAGTGTTGCTGTGGTATCCAGTTATTGTTAGGTTTCTGCGCGCCACACTTCGCTTTTGCTTTGATGCTCGTTCCCTTGAGAGACAACAGGGAATGTGACGCGCTTCCGTTGTCGCGCGCGAAGCTTGTTTGCGCATGCGCACTTATCACGGCTTCGTAGTATAAAAGCTCCGCATTCCGCGATGAACGGTAGCTGACGATTCACAGGATTCAAGTTGATTGAGAGCTTGTGCTGCTGCACTAGAAGTGAGTTCAGTTAGTCGAATGTCTTGTGACTGCCATTCTAGTATCAATCACGCAAGTTGCAGCGCCGGTTAGTGCAACTGCGCGATCACTGGCTACTGTAGCTAACCGCCTAGCCTGTATGCGCGATCACTAGCTAAATTGCAGAAGTAGGAGGGAGTAGTTAGTTTACTGCTGCACGCGTACTCAAGCACCTGCGTCTTGTTGCGTGGTGTTTCGCAGAGCCTGAGCTGAGCGGTATCCGCACCATCGTGCAACTACTACCAGCTTTGAACACGCGGCGACGCCGTATATACGCCTATTTATCAGTAACTGAGGCAGCAAAGTAACAGAGAAAAACAAGGACGGGGGAAAAGAACCGACTGTTGAGTGTATTATTTCCACTCTTGTTATAGGATATTTAAAACCCAGTACCCCCTCCAATTTGTTGCCCCACTGTGGAAAAACCCTCTGATGTTGCAGGCTGGTGGGTGCGCTCAAAAGATGAGGCGTTGGTCGTCCAGAAATCTTAACAATACACATTTTCCTTTTCACACATGTGGAAACAAATTGAGGCACAAATTGATGATGTACGTGTCTCTTCCCTCCCCCTGCCAGATTATCGAGTGGTTTGAGCAGTTCACTAATGGTGTAGCCCAGACGCACACTGAACTCGGAGAATCGCAACAAGTTGCAGAAAGTCTTGCAAAAGAAGTCACTGACTTTGAGACAACTACACAGGTATATACACAATGAAGTGTAAACGTATGGAGTACTGTAATTGGCTGTTAACACGTCCATTGGGCATTGAAAACAGGAAATGGCATACACCCATGTACTTGTTGTTCACAACTCTGTGATTTTCTGTTTGGACAAAAGGTAAAAAGGCTGGCCAAAACGTGTTTTGGTCAAGAGACAATCGGTGTTGGTGGCGGTGTATAGCTACATATTGTCACAGTTGCAATGTGATGGGAACCTGTAGGTACATGTTTAGGGAGGGCACTCAATGTGTATACTAACCATCCCTTTTATCTTGGGCAGCCTGTTTGTCTAGGTGTCTGTGTGTTTTTGCGATGCCTGCAGAGATGGAGTGGTGGCATGCTAATTTTCCGAGAGGTTGCATGACTTTTGTCCTGCTTCTATAAATCTACTCTGTCTTAAGAATCTACCCCCCCACCTGTGTACCAATGACATTCTTATAAGCAAGCAAAACCCTACTTCTGTGGTGGAGCAGACTGTGGTATACACAGCAGAGGCTGGGGAATAGTACTATTATACCAGACCACATGAAATACAATATTGGTTCCAATTCTCTAATGCCTGATCAGTTATAGGATGTGTAATACTATAATTATAGTACAGTGGCCTATAGTACAGTGGCCTATAGTACAGTGGCCTATAGTACAGTGGCCTATAGTACAGTGGCCTATAGTACAGTGGCGGTCTAGCTCTGCTATAATTATTACTATACAGCCTGCATTATTTCTCAGATTCCTGTGTGCATGCATTCAGGGCCCTCTGCATTCTCTATAATCACCTGAAATGTTCGTTTTGCAGCAAATTCTAATACGTACCGAAAAACTTCTCCAAAGTGGTACAATCCTTGAGACTCTCAAGCACACGGACCACGACACGATAAGCACACTCATGGGGAAGATAAAGCAACTGATGACCGACTTTGACGACCGACTCGGGAAGAGAAAGAAGAAGATTGATGAATCGGTCCAGCTACACAAGCTGACAGAGATGGTGAGAATGTTATATAACGCACTTTTGTGTGAATTTATAGGAATAGCCCTTCCTATGAGTGGAAGTAACACAGTAATAGTTGTTTGAAGTTGAATTTACATTTTACTACTGTGGTTTTGGGCGTCCTCCGTGTTTGTGGCAGATTTAGCGTACCCACAATGAATTTCTCATCTTGCACCTACTAATAGCGACAGAATAGCTGTCGCTGGAGGAGGGTGAACTCGATCCGGACGGAAACAATGTTTGTAGAGTGATCATGGTTTGTGAGTGTAGGTCTGCTGGTCTCGTCACTCATCCATATCCTCCTACTGAGCTATGGTATATATCTTGTTGCTTGCAATGGGAACTCATTGCACAAACAGTAAGCAGGATGCTGGGCCAGGTTGTGTACATACAGTTACTTATAAAGAATGGCATGCGTTTGCACTTCTTGCAAGCGCCTTAGGAAATGACATGGTTGCTGTACAGGCATAACTTAGTGTTTATGGAGGGGCATAGGAAATTGGGGTATCATGTGAGTGGAAGTCTTTCGCAAGCTCCTAGTTGTCATATTATGGTGGTTGTGCCATCACATGACATGTAATAAATGGCACGCTTGAGTAGGTTAGGAGAACACCATTGTGAGTGGTATCTGCAGTGGGCAGTCTCACAGTTACCACTGTGGAGGAGCATATTGTTGTCAAGATTGTTGATTACAAGCCACAGGATCAAATAGAACTAAATGTTTTTAACTGTGCCACATGTGCAATGGACCGGAGCTGACAAGTCAGGGACCGCTGAGCTTTACGCACACCTGTGCTGTTTGACAAGTGTCCTCTCACACCCTCTGTGCATAAACACTTCTGATCTCATGTTCATTACGTAAGGAGTGGGCTGAGTTAGTACCTTAAGAGAGAGAGAGTAAGTGTCAAGGCCCATGGTGTTGGTCCCAGTGTCCTAGCCCTGTCAAAACCAGTAGCAGAGTAAACTGAATCCATGGGAAGGCTGGCTCTTTTGTGTGGGCATAATTTGTTCTGCCAACAGCGGCAGGTGTTCCTTTTGTTCCCAAGAGTATAAGAGTGCATTACCGTGTTTGACAAGAGTTACTGTCCAACTTTACACTATCTCTTTTCTCTCTCTCCCCCCTCCCCACGAACAGTCACTGGACTGGTGCATCGAGAGTGCAGGTCTCCTCTCGGACTTTGACCTCCTCTGCAACAGCGAGGATTTCAATCCAGCTGCCGCCATTGTCAGCATCGACCAGTTTCTGGACGAGAACCCCGCACCATCGGCGGAAAACCAGCAGATGCTCATGGAGCTTGCGGAGATAACCGAGAACCACTGGGCTAAACAGAACGCCCTCTTTGCCTTCAACCGCGTGATGGAGATATCGGAGCGCTTCAGCTACCACTCGCAGATGCTGGAGAGC